CTCTCTCTCTCTCTCTCTCTTTTTCTCTCTCTCTCTCTCTCTCTCTCTCTCTCTCTCTCTCTCTTTCTCTCTCTCTCTATCTATCTAATATATGTATATATATATATATATATATATATACATATGTGTATACATATATATATACACATACATACATACATACATACATATATACTAAAAAGTACTTACCTACACCCACATATATACGCACAACTAGACATGTACAGTTAGGTATTCTACATATACACTTAAATATACATCAAGAGAGGGATAGCATCGATACGCATCTGCAGGTGAGCTTCGTTCCTCAAAACGGCTTCCTTCCAAAGGAGGACACCCTTGCGCTGCTTCGTATGTGAGAGTGCCTGTTGATTTATTGTTTCGATCGCTGGCACTGCAAAGGACCCTGCCTTACCTGCCAACCTCCCCTCTCATAAGAATCTGAAAGCCTCAAAACTCCGCTATTGCGGAGCTCATCTGCGCAGCTCCGTGGACTTTCAAAGCCACATCACCACCCTTGCCGACGGTCATAACGTAGGGTTGGGGTTTCGGGGTTTAGAGCTTGGCGTTAATGGAGGCCTTTTAGTCTCACCAGCATGACGCTTAAAAAAAGGAGCTCTGCGAGATGAAGTTGAATGTTCTTCTGAGAAACGACGAATTACGGCCAAGCCCCAAGCCACAAACCCAAAAGCTCCAGGTACCCATATAGTAGGTACTTAGGCCTTAAAGGGGTCTTTATATAGGTACTTTAAGGCCTAAGTACCTATAGGGCACATGGAGCCTTAGGGAAACCCAAAGCCCTTGCTATAAACTTCATGATCTGTACACTAGGGCTGCCTTGACAGCTAACCTTGGCTGGAGCAACGGATGCCAGCAGTTTCGGAAATTGAGCAAACCAGCTCGTGCCCCATGGTTCCTTGCGCCGTACTTGGAGGGTCGGGGGACTTAGTAACTCGTTACTTTAAGGACTTATAAGTACCATGACCCAAATTAGGGTCCCTTACAGAATACTTATAAGTCTACTTGCTAACTACTTACTAAGTCCCCCGACCCCCCAAGTAGTACTCCGAATACCTCCCCGGCAATGAGAAGAAGCCACGCTGTAAGTTTGCGTCAGGTGCCTGACGCGACTCAAACGGCCCAAGCTCCCAAACTCCTCACGGAGCCCCGAAACCCTAAACCCCTAAACCCCTGAACCCTAAGCCCTAAACCCTTTCGCTGTGTGCAAGCGAAAAGGGGCCCTTGGAAAAACGAAATTAAACCCTAAACCCCTAAACTCTAAACCCCTAAACTTCCCTTAACCCTTTACCCTAAAACCATTCAGCTGGTTGTCTTCTGACTGTGGAGTTCGTGGCTACTCGTGAAGGGTGTCTTCTGAGAGTGGCCCTGTTTTAGTGCAATCCTCGACTGAGGCGGGCGAAAGACACGTCATTGGACTTTAAAAAAAACCATTCAGCCCCCAAATTACCTAAAGCCCCGAATTACAAACTTGAACCCTTATGAACCTCTGCAGGAGCCCGTTAAGGTAACCAACCCTTAACAAAGGCTCTTCTTTGCTGTTCGAAAACTAGCGTTCACGACCCAACTGACGTCCACTGTTTGCTCATGACAAAGCTCATCTCAACAAATGAACCAAAAAGATCAAGCACATGCATGCACTTCCGCATACACGTTATAACATGTGTGTACATGGACACACTTATGTATGGGTATATGCACATATGTGTGTACATATGCGTTTGTATATGTATGTATACATATATATATATACACACACATACGGCTATATATGTCTAGCTATGGATATAGATATACATACATGTTCATACACTTGTACTCACTTACATGCATACATTCGTGCATGTATACCTGCGTGGGTCATTTTGTAAATTCCACTGCGGGTTGTGGAATGTCATGGGCTCAGGGTTGAGATATGAGACAGACAGATAGAGAGAGGGAGAGAGAGCGAGCGAGAGAGAAACCAAAAACAAAACACAATGACATACATATATTTATATATACATATTTATATATATATATAGACAGAGAGAGCATTTGTGGTTATATGTATCTTCTATAATTATTTATACATGTACATATACGTTGTCATATAATCATATACATATGTATATATATATATATAAACCTAATTGTTCAAGCGTGCACATGTAGATGTTGATTTACATAGATACACTTATCCTTGGATTGCAGCTTGTTCGACCTCTGCTTGTAATGTTTCGCACCTAGGGCTGCTTCATCGGACACCCGACACCTCCGCCCGCTCCCAACCCCTAAACCCTGGAAGGAAAGCGATGAATGCCCCTGGGATACAGGGCAGAGCCCTCAGGTGAGAGCTGAGGTTCGGGTTTATGGCCTTTAGGGCTTAGTGTTTATAGTTCAGGTTGATTTCCGGGCTTAGAGCTCGGGATCCTAGCATTTTAATGTACCTGAACAGGGGGGGGTTGCTGATAACATTGCCGCGAGGCTCCTATGGTATGCAATTGAGCTTGGGGGATTGGGAGAGACAGTAAAGCCGAACCCAAAATTGCGTGCGCGGACCCCAGTTTCCGCAGGACTCAGGCCATGTCAGGTGCATCAAGTGTGGCTCCTTAAGTTCTGGACTCCGCAGAGTGCACAGCTGTTTTGGGCTTCAGATTTACCGGGTTTAGGCCTTAATTTTGGACTATGCCTACTTTGGGGGAGCCCCCTTGAGAAAGTGACGCGTCTGAAGAACTCAACGGCTCCCGGTACCTGCATCTTTGCACCCCGATGATTACCTGGAGGCTTGCTGAGCTGCCCCCACTTGTCTTTAAATATCTAGGGTTTAGGGTTAAGGTTTAGGGTTCAGGGGTTCTAGGGGTTTAGGGAAGATGGGGGTACTTTTGCGACAATGAGGACAGATACCGCTGGCAAAGGTTTGTGAGCACCAGGTAGGGTCGGGTTTGGTGTCTTTAGTGTCTTCTCGCCGGTGACTACGCAGTACTGTCCTGTGGTTCTAGCTGGACGAGCATGCGAAGGTAGACAGGTTTCCAGGGTAGGACTTCAACCAGAGATCTGTCTGGGAGGCTACTGGACGCTCCCTTGTTGTCGGAAGCTCCGATGACGGAGGTGGTGCTGTAGGGGCTTCGGGTTAACATCTTAGAGTTGGCATTGGATTCAGGGATGCGCTGCGCAAGGTTTAGTGGCCCTGCACCCTCAATCCTCAATCCTCATACGGAACTCTATCTCTAGCCCCATTTTTTGATGACAGTGATGTGCTGCCCAAGCTATATAAAGAGTTTGATCATTCAGGGTTGTGTGGCCGATGACCCTCACCCAGTTGTGCTTCAAATACACCTGCTCTACCTACAGTCTCCATTGTAGTTCCTGTTTTGGTTAACCGAACCCTATATTATAAAATCCTACCCATAAAACTGGTTAACACAAACAGGAATTACAATAGAGACTGGTACTTGACCGTTTATACAGCCGGGTCTACATGGGAGCTTCCAAAAATTAGGGGTACCTTATTTTGGGGTCCTTATAAAGAGGATCCTACGTTTTGGGGTACTATATGCAGGTCCACACTTTTCAGGAAACCCCCAAATCTCCACGCTCTGCATTGATCTTTTCAGGGTTGGGCTGGCCTGAAAAAGGGCGAAGCCGGATCTAGAGACTCATTGGGCTTTTTGTGGGTTCGAGTACTTGTAGGAAGATACAGTAGAAATTGTTAGGTCAGCTTGTACCTGTAGTCTGCATCGTATTTCCTTTTTTGGTTAACCAGTTTTATGGTTAGGATCCTATACTATAGTTTTTTGGTTATCCTGAAAAAGGAACTACAATGGATACTATAGGTTGCAATCATGTTGCAACTGGCCTAGCCATGAAGGGATTTTTCCTGCTCACTCACGGACTGGTGCTGCCGCCATGTGGGCGTTTCCGAAAATAGGGGACCCTAATATAGTACCCTGAATAGTAGGACGCTTTTTACAAGGACCCCCCAAATAGGTACCCCTGATTTTCGGACTCCCATGTCAAGTTGCGATGACTCTCCGCCTGTTGTCCAGCGCTTTTGAGGCTTAAGCCCTCATGTCCCAAGTCCCCACTGCAGACTACCCTTGAAGGAACCCTTTAAAGACCCCTTTGAAAGGAACCCTTAAAGGAACCTTCAAAGGAACCAATCAAGAAGCCCTGAAAGATTTACTGTTGTTGTTGCCGATGTGCTTGGATCTAGCGCTTTCTAACGCCGGTATTCAGTCTTTTAGGGCCCAGCCGCATGGGCAGGACTCGCTGTCCCTGGCCCGGACTGTCTTGCATGGCCCTGAGATCAGGACTTAAGCTTCAGAGCTCAATCTCTTGGATTGGGGTGTGGGATGCTTCATTGTTGTTCACCCCTGCAGGCGTTAAGAAGCAGCACCGTTCTGATGAACCGCACCTAACTTGGACGACAGATGTAGCTGTTTGGTCTGAAATGCAACTCACGCATGCTCAATCAAGCAAATCCTGCACAACACCTGGGGGATTCATGGTACATGAAACGCCAGGGAACACTGCAGACAGACAGTGATGTGAGCAAATCTTGCAACATGTGCCTGTAGGTTGCATTCTTTCATGCTTGCAGTCAGTGCTTGGTGCATGCGTGATTTTGAAAGCTGCCCTGCCTGTGTTCGTTAATGCATCGAAGGACAAAGCGGAACGTGACGTAGTAGACATTGCACATGGCATTTGTGCTGCCAAATGCAAGTTTCAGAAGATGAATGACCTCTAACACAGAACCCTACAGTAAAGGCCCGTCGCAGTATAGCATCAGTCAGCCGTCATGGTCAGCTGCGAAACATAGTCCTTGATTTCACACCGGAGGCTGGCTGACACATTCATTCACGACACTCCGAACTGCCAGCGGCAACTTGCTAAAATGCGAAACAATCCCAGACTCCAGGCACTAACCGTCACTATATAACCCTAATCTAAGATTGGTAAGTCCAGGTTCAGAGCATCCCCTCAAAGGGGCATGGGCAGTCATGTGGCAAACATTGCCGTTTGCTTTGTCCTTGGTGGTGGCCTTGCTGCCGACGGCCACTGCGGACGGAACAGGTTGGGCCTTTGCAAAGTGGAAGCTACCCCAAGGCCCCAAAGTAGTTCCTTTTTGGGGTTCAGATATAGAATCCACTTTGGGGCTTATGGATACCCCACCAAAAACTTGTGCCCCAACCGAAAATTCCACGCTAAGCCTTATTCCGATTATAGGCCTCTTATGCGGCGCATCCCAGGTACTTTCACGGTGGTACCTCCCACAGTCGCTTCACTTCGTGGCAGGAGCATTCCCATACGTGAGGATGGAGTTAGATTGCTGGAAATCCCAGATGCTGTGGAACCTATGGACACGTCGGACGCTTCGGGCCTCATGCTGAACATTGGCCGTTGAGCAGTAACCTTTTTTTGTTTGCGAGTGCGTGCATGACGGCGCGCGCGCAGAGGTGTGTACGTACGTGTGTGTGTGTGTGTGTGTGTGTGTGTGTGTGTGTGTGTGTGTGTGTGTGTGTGTGTCTTTGCCTTTTCTAATTCTCTGAGCCACCTGGGCACCTCAGAAACGCGTAGGTGGCACGGGCGTAGACTCCTGTCCCCAAACAAAAACATCAGCCGAACAGCGAACGAGCCCAGGAACCACGTGGTGTCACACTTCTTCCGCGATGTTGAAGCAGTGAACAGCCAGAAAGGCAGGCCCATGCGTTTGCAGGTGGTGCCTTGGCTTTGATTTGACATATACCTAGAGAAACCAAGGTACTTGGAAATGCACTATTTGTGCAAGGTTCATGTCGGTTTTTGGATACATGTACATTGGTTATCTAGGAAGCTGGAAGTCCACTAAACCAGGGTTTAGAGGTTTAGGCTTAGGCGGTTTAGGATCTACGGCTTTACACCTCTCACTTCGAGACTTGGGACGACACCCTGAGCCCCCGCAACTGCGCACATGCATTCCGGAAGTTCGGCATCCCTTATGGCATCTATCACACTCAGAAATGCTGTTCTGGGTTTTGGAATCCTACGACAACGTCCGTTCCTAAATTCTCAAGCCCGAACACCATGAGGACTTTTGGATCTGAGCGAGAAGCCCTAGCCAGGCTTGCAAGAGAAACTACGTAAGATCCCTTGGGGATCTTGGGGCGAGCTCTTTCTAACCATGGACCCGGATCCTGATGTAGAACATTCCATTAGTGCTCTTATGTATACAAGAGCACATGCAAATCTGCTGATAAGGTATATGCAACTCCTGAAACGAAGCTCTCATCCCAATATGTTGCGAGCTCTGCATCAGGTATCCGCGTCCTTGACCATCTTGTTTCCTGCCTGAGCTGGCATCAGAGTTTGATTTGGAGTAAGCGGGCTCTGAGATTTCGGCTTGCCAGAGTTCGGTGATGGTCAGCTCATGTAGGTCATGCTTTGCTCGTGACCCGCTGACATATTTACATCAAAAATCTGACCATGTTTACCCCAGACACACACCATACCGTACGACGCGATGCTATGCTGTCCTGTACTTGAACTGAGGATATAAGGATTTCTGCTTTGATCGGACGTCGTATATCAACAGCCTGGCCTAAACCCCAGCCCATTGCTACATCCGGGAATCCGAAACCATAGTCCAACCCTGTGTCTGGAAATGATGAACTTAACCCCGCACCCTAAACCCTTTACTCTATAAGTATTAAAACGATCTTAGGATCTATGCCATGATGCCAAAATCCGAAACTCCAAAAGTGCCCCCACAATACTGAAAAGAGATCTGAGGATCCTAAACCATAAACTCCAAACTCTGCAAGCCCTAGACCCTAAAAGTCCTCTAATACTAGTTTAAAGCGATCTGAGGATCTATGCCATGATCCCTAAACTCTACATTCTAAAAGTCCCGTTTAATACTACAAAGCGATCAAAGGATTTAAGCCCTAGACCCTAAACTCGATACGCCCTAAACCCTCAAAGTCTTTTAATACAGACTATAAGTTTACCCTAAGGCCCCAAAGTAGTTCCTTTTTGGTGTTCATATTTAGAAATCCTATAAGGTAATCCCAAAGAGGCACTACTTTGGGGCCTATGGGTAAGGCGATCTGAGGATCTATGCCATGATCCCTAAACTCTATATACCCATTATATAGCCCATTATAGGGTAGGGGTCCCCATTAAGGGTCCCTCCTTTTCCCCTTTGATTAAAGCGATCTGAGGATCTATAGTACTGAACTGTACGTTTACCCTAAGGCCCCAAAGTAGTTCCACTTCAGGGCTCATATTTAGAATCCTATAAGTTAATCCCCAAAAGGAACTACTTTTGGGCCGTAGGGTAAAGCGATCTGAGGATCCTAAACCCTATAGACAAACTCTATAAGCCCTAAACCCTAAAAGTCTTTTAATACTAAAAGTTTAAATCAAAGGGGAAAAGGAGGGAGCCTTAATAACGACCCCTAGGTATATACCCTTACCCATTATATAACCCATGAAAGGGTGGGGGTCCCCATTAAGGGTCCTTCCTTTTCCCCTTTGATTAAAGCGATCTGAGGATCTATAATACGGTACTATAAGTTTACCCTAAGGCCCCAAAGTAGTTTGTTTTTGGGGTTCATATATAGAATCCTATAGGGTAATCCCACAAAGGAACTACTTTGGGTCCTATGAATGGTTAAAGCCATCTGAGGATCTATGCCATGACCCCTAAACTCTAGATTCTAAAAGTCCCCTACAGTACTATCTACAAGCCCTAAACCCTAAAAGTCCTTTACTACTACAAGCTGTAGCGCGATCTGAGGATCTATGCCATGATCGTACGGCGCTCCTTGCTAACTCGGCCCGGGAGCCGTTCAGTGATCTTCGTTCCGAAGGTTTCTGTGGCCAAGGAGGAATCTTGGACCCAAAACCGTTGAGGGTTTAGGGTGTAGTAGGGTTGAGTTGAGGGTTTCGGGGTTTACGGTTTGGGAGGGTTTAGGGTTGAGTTCGGGGTTTACGGCTTGGGGGTTTAGGGACTATGGTAGGACCGGTTGGGGATTCAGGGACTACAGGGTGTTGGGATATAGGGTGTTTGGGGTTCATACAGAAACATTTCTAAAAGGGGCTTATAATGAATTTTGAGCACAGGAGGGTTTTTCGGCAGGAGGGCCTTTTTTGTTGTGGGTCGAGACTCTCATAGCGTCTCTTGAGGCTTAATGACGTCAATGGCGCAGGCTTCGTTTTCGGTACCAAGGGCCTCAACTTTCAACCGTCAACAAGGTTTCAGAATGATAAATCATGGTAGCAAGTGGAGAGTCGTGGTAGTAGAGGTATAGGGAGCAGTATCAGTAGCATAAGCAACAGGCACCACCGCCATGGTCATCATCGTCATCATCGCCATCATCATCATCCGTACTGCTGACTCAAGAACAAGGGGGTTCCAGCGAGTACTTAAGTCTGGAAGACTAGACTTCATACATCCGTCCACTGGAACCCAAAGCTCTTCCACCCTGTCCACGGCTAAACTCTTTTCGACTCCGAACCTCGGCTGCGAGGTCTGCAAAGAACTGGAGACTTGCCACCTGCGCACCAACTTGATCAGCGGCAAGGACATCAAGCCATCCCCGCCTGTTAGAATATGCGTAGATGGGCATTGTTGGACCTGAGTGCTGTTTTCCCAAAATAACACTGACTGTTTCATTCATACATATACATGTGTATATGAATATGTGCGACCCACGTATACATACACGTACACTACACCTGCATTTACACCTATACATACACATATGCATATACAAGCACAGTGCCATGTTTGTACATGCTCACAGCCCTTATTGCAGCGAAGATAATGCAAACACCTTCACAAAAGCTTTAGAAAGCAGATCCCTTCAACCGATGTTTAGGGTGCAGGGTAGTCTAGCTTTCTCGGGGAACCTGCCTTTGGTCCTATGAGCAGTACAGGGTCCTTGATGAATACAAGAGGATGTTCGGTAGTTGAAAACATAATTGCATACTAACCCCGACAGAACCCTTTGTAAGTTAAACGAACCCGGAAATGGGATAATATGAAATATGCGACAGAGCAATCGTGCGGGAACTGTATGATCCTTCCCGTGAACGCATGCCTCGAGGCAGCAGCTTCGGGAACACTAAGGGCATTTCTTCAAATTTTTGGTGGCTTGTTTAAATAAGGTCTGGGATGTAGGGTTTAAGGTTTATAGGCTCATATTAAGGTCTGGGATTTAGTATCTGGTTCAGGCCTAGCAGGATCCGTACTATACCCGAAAAAAGCTCTCGCATCGAAGAATTGGACAAGCCTTTTTGATTTCGACTACCCTTGCGTATAGTTCCTGTACCATTGTACTATGATGCACACCTCAAACCTTTCCTATTCTAGACCTTCAATAGAGTAACCCCCCCGCCCCCGATAAAGCCTGTTGGGTTTGGGGCTTTGTCCCGCCGACGCGCAGGATGTCCGTTGCGACCCAACGGCTGACGTTACGGCTCCTGTGTTGCAAGTCAGACCTCCCTGTGTTCTAGAGCCCCGCAAAGTTTAGGGTTTGTTTGGTTTAAAGCACCGGAGTCATACATTGGTTAGTTGAGCAAGGGCCAAATAAAGCCTTCAGTACATAAGCGAGCTTTTGGATGATGCCCTTATCATTATTTTGGATTACAGACCATATGATTTGGCATCTGCCTGATCTGTGAATCTGAGGCGTGGGGCTTCAGGGGGTACCATGTATATCTATATGTATATACGTATATGTATATATATATATATATATATATATCAAATACATATAGGGCATATGTATGTATATGTGTGTGTGTGTGTGTGCATATATACTGCTTTAGAGTTCAAGTTCAAGTCTTGGCAGTATAGGTGTTCGATGTTTAGGTAGAGTTAGAGCTTGGGTATGATGTTGCGGGTTTCAGGATTGTTTTGGTTTGGGCTTTGGGTTCTGGGGTGTTATGCTTTGCAGCTACTACTTCGGGGGTCTCCATGCGTGAAAGCTGTAAAGTGAAAGCCTCAACTCCTGACCCTGATGACCTGTTCTCGAGTCCGAATCTATGGCTCCATTTTTTGTTGGATAACCAGTTTTATGGTTAGGATCCCATAACATCGTTTATGGTTGTGTTTTAACCCAAAAACGTAACCACAATGGAGACTATAGGTAATCTACATTTGCAGACCGTCGCTTCATCAGGACGTAAAGCGGACTCGGAAAAAGCAACATATTGAAGCCTTGATAATAGCCTGGGAACCCCGTAAAACCCTTTGGATCACCCATAGGATGAAACCCCAAACGTCTAAGCCCGAAACTCTGGCATACCTTCGAGCTATAGAAATCGTTTCAGGAGCCCTTGTGCTTAAACCCTAAACCCCCAGACATCCCAATACCCCTTACTTCAAGAATATACCCTAAATCATAATATTATAAGGCCTCTATAATTCAATGTACATTCCTTAATTAAGGGGTATTGGCTTCTCTGGGCGCCTCAACCCTCAACCTAGGGCTCTTAGGATTTGCGATGCTTGCCCAGGTTTGCTTAGCCAACCGGGCCGATTGCCTCCTTGGCCAGCATTTCCACGTCAAGCTCGTCGATGCCTGGGGGGGGAGGGGGGGCTTGCGGGGGTTTAAGGCTTAGGGTTTAGTGCTTAGAGGGGGACGGCGGGACAGGGGAGGGGAGTGTTAACGGGGGTTTACAGTTCTAATAGGGAAATTGTAGTGGGTTATTGAGGGTTTCAAGGGTTGTATGGCAAGTTTTGTCGGATTTGTTGAGGGCTTTATGCGGTTTTAACGTGGTAAGGGTTCCTCTGAGGGTTCCGGTCTTGCGAGATGTCTTAGGTGTCCTTTAAAAGTTGTAAGGCCTCCTCCAAGGGTTTTAAATACTTTGAAGTAAAGGCGTTAGGGGCTTTGCGGTATTTAGACTTTCTAGTATTGGGGCTCTGGGTGGGGACACGCTAGTGCTTGCATCGTTGTTTTTTGTTGTTGCGGTGCTATTGGTTGTGCTCTTTATGCAAAGCTTCATCAAGTCTGACTCGCTATCGTGATCCGGGTTGTCTGCGTATATACTCTCGTCGTTGCTGTCGCAGTTCGGCTGTCGGAGGGTGGGTACTTTTGGGATGTATGCGTCAGCAAGCTAGCTAGTAGGGGAGCCCGATGGCCGATTCTTGGAACAGTCGTTTGCGGTTGCGAAGTAGTTCGTGACTTGAGGCTTGCACGGTGCGATATCGCATTTTCAGCAGCTGCTATTGATCCGTGTTGTCCTCATAGACCCCTTCAGGGTCGCATACAGTTACAGTCTATTGTAGGTATGACCGGCCTCATATATCTATACTATAGGCCATGAGATGGTAGTCGTAGCAGCAACAGCAGCTGCAACTGTTAGCTGCAGGTATATTGGCAGTAGTCATGTTGGTGGTCGTCGTCGTTGTACTAGTCGAAGAAGTAGCATCAGCGGTAGTGGTAGCAGTAGCAGTAGCTTTAGCAGCAGCAGTAGTGTAGTAGCTTGAATAAGATCAGTAGTAGTAGCAGTAATAGAAGTGGTAGTAGGAGCAGCAGCAGCAGTAGTCGCAGCGGTAGTAGTAGTAGTAGTAGTAGTAGTAGCAGTAGTAGTAGTAGTAGTAGTAGTAGCAGTAGTGGTAGTAGGAGCAGCAGCAGCAGTAGTCGTAGCAGTAGTATTTCTATTGGTAGTCGTGGTCGTAGTAGGAGGCGGTGGAGGAAGGAGAGAAGGACTAGGCGAAGAGTAGCGGCTTGCGGGTCAAAGATTTACGTCACACTGTAGGTGAAGTAGCAGAAGATTGATGAACGTTTATTCCACAGATTGCATACTGGCATAATCTGTTTCTTGCTCGCAAACGGTCCGTGCTGAGCTGGCCGTCGTGATTTTGCAGTATTCCTTCCCCTGCTCGTTTTGCAGTGTGCCGATCGACTGCAACTACCGGGCGTTCGATGGAAGAACATCCACAAGGATCTGGGGATTCGGGCAGGGCAGCTAGACCGTCTGTGTTTTCGGCTCGCCAAACTCTATAGTTTCACAAGAATAAACAAGCTTAACATGTGGCGCTTGGTGAGCGACTTCGGAATGCATGTTGTGAGTTGATTCCGTCCCGTCTGGCAGCGAGCCGGCTGATACAGAATATACTTTTGTGGATAAGGAGGATTCGGCTGCATAATTGCTGTACAAACCTGATACCAGTAGCAAGGCTGCTGCTCCTGGTAATCCAGCAGCATTCATGGTAAACGGAGCTGCAGTCGCAGCAACAGGAGGACACAGTGAGCATGTAGACATTTCGCTCTACCCATAGGCCCCAAAGTAGTTCCTTTCTGGGATTACCTTATAGGGTTCGAGATATGAACCCCAAAAAGGAACTACTTTGGGGCCTTAGGGTACTAACTAGTGTACCAGACTACGGCATGATCACACGCATTTCGAAGCTGTAAGCTAGTGTAGGCTCTGAACTCAAGCAGTCGCCAGCTTTTGCGTTGCCGTGCCATTATTCTGCAATCCCCGTTGCACTAACCCCAAACCCCAAACCCTAAGCGCCGCTAAGCCCTGAACATTGAAGCTCAGATCGAGTCCTTCCCGACCTGGAAGCTCGCAGGACGTGACTGCGGACATGTGCGCCGAGTTCTCTACATGCTTCAGCGGCATTGAGGTCGTGCTTGGCATCCCTAAACTAGATACCCCCGGCATCCCCGGGCATTAAATCTTACTTGTGCCGACAACAGACAGGAAGCATAACCACCCTGGGGCCAAAACCCTAAACCCTCAGGTGGACCACGACTATACGCTGACCTGCGCTGTGTCCGGCCGCACAGCTCTGCCAGGCTGAGTTGGGTCTTAGGGGCTTGGGGTTAAGGGATTAGGGTTTAGAGATGATTGATATGGGAGTTTCAGAAGATGGAGGCCAACACCAAGAAAATCTAAGCAGCAGGGCACTTGTCACCCCTAGTGAAGAATCCCCCATCGGCAGCAAGAACAACAGGAAGGCCTGCAGGCCTAAATGTCTGCAAACACAGATCGAAGCTGGCCTGAATCCTGTATCCTGCACCTAGATCCCAAAAGTTTATACCCCCAAGCCGACATGCCCGAAGCCCTGAAGCCTAACTGTAAGCCTCAATCCTGAATCCTATATAAACTCTAAGCCCTTGACCCCTTAGTGCTTCAGATCCCACATCCTACTGTCAAAAAGCCCCGAAGCCCTTACAAAGACTACTATTTGCTTAAGAACCCCCAAAAAATAAAGAATATATTCCTTATGGGTGTAATATAGGGATTATTATTTTTATTTTTTGGGGGCTTCTTAAGCAAATAGTAGAAGACCATATCAAATCCGTGTAGACTCCCCCATGTTTAGACTTGCAAAAACCCGCATTGACGGCGTTGCACCCAACCCTAAACACGACAAACTGAAAGGAAGCTCATTGCGGTGCTTCCTCCGGCCGTTGACGAAAGTCGCTTCCCACTGGGCCGGCGTGGTCAGGCAGGCCGTGTTAGCATTAAGGGTATCGGGCTCAGGGATTTCGGTTTTGGTTTTAGGGTTTCTCTGCTGCCAAGACACTGGTACGAGGGGTAAAGGGGTGTTATGGGCAAGCTTAGTGGAGGTTGTGTTAAGCTCTATAGATGTTTATTGCTGTAAGGTTTTATAGCGGTTTAAAGTGTGCGTCAGATCCAACGGCTGGGTTTAGGGGTTTAGCTGTTTAGGGTTTAGGCTTTGGGGGTTTAGGGTTTAGGGGATTAGGGTTTTGGGTTTAGGGTTAGATTTGAGAGATTTGAGGGGTGCCAGGTTTAAAGTTTATGGGGTTCGGTTCAGATGGTGCTAGATTTCACATGTCTGATACAAGGACCTCACGACCACAAGGATTATTCCCTAGGGTTTGTTATTGTAATAAATATGCAACCTTATAACAAAGGCACTATATGTGTGTGTATATATATAGACATATGTGTGTGTGTGTGTACATAGTAGGTTTCACATTGCGTAGCGACGGAGCCTGTCACAAGACCTTAAGCCCCAGCGATTGCAGGGCATTAGGGTTTAGGCCTTGCGGGCTCTGGGGTAAAAAATTGAAACCTTGTGCGACAGACCCATGCACCAAAGATCCATCGCTGTTCTTTCAAATGTATCGGGCAGCTGGGTCCCGTAGCTGCCATAGCTCAGTACCGCAATGTCACATGAAACCTGAATCTTCGGACATTCTCAAGGCAGTAGGGGCTTCTTGCGTGACGAACCTAGCTTGTCCTTGTGTTTGGTTAGGAAAGGTCCTACCATGATTTAGGCCTCTGTAAGGGGACCGTAGCTTCTCGGTTGGTTTGGTAAGGTCAAAGGGCTTTCGAAGGCAAATTCTTGTGGATAGAACGTAGCGTGTGACACAATGAAATATTTGCTTGGCTAATATGTTATATATATATATATATATATATAGATACATGTATACTTATATATGAGGTGAAACCATGTGTATGTGCATGCGGAAGCTGTTATCCCTGATGACAATCCGAAGGCTGATGAGAACGAGCTGCGCAGGTTCTCCAACCGTGCTGGCGGCCCTGGCCAACTTGCAGATCGCGCATCCATAACCACTTGCACGGGTGCAAACTTCACACTTTCGCCAACTTGAGCCATGAGAAGACTCTCTGTTCGTAGCTGGTGAGGGTACCCGCCTACTTTTCTTATGGTAGGCCGCGACCGAAGTGGCGGACGGTCTCCGATACTCATCTCCGTGCTCACGGCTGGCGCTGTAAGTATGCATGCATACATACATGCATGCATGTATGTATGCGTGTAAGTATGTATGTATGTAGGTAGGTAGGTCTATGTAAGTATGTATGTACCTATGCATGTCTGCGTGTATGCGTGTATGTGCATGCACGCATCTATGTATGCAAACACGCATGTACTGATGTGTGAGTGCATCCAATCAAGCAGGTACGTATTTATGAATGTATGCACACATGTATGGAGATGTGTTTTCCTATCTTACTTTCTATCTGTCTGTCTATCTGTCTATCTACCGCACACCTCAATCTGCCTGTCTATCTGTCAGTCTAGCTGTCTGTTTATCTGTCTAACAATCTTACCTATTTACCGAAGAAGTTTGGAATCTAACTACCGATGTATCTGAATTAACGTATCTACCTGCCTCTCCATCTAAACATCTTTCTACCCATCGCTTTATCTCCGCTTTTCAGGCTATCTAGTTATCTATCGTCTATCTATGTGTCTGGAATGTAGTTACAAATGTGTGTGCATATGAACCTATGCACGCGTTTTTCCACGCTCTGCCATCCTATGTGCACCATCCTGAAACCCCGGTGTATACACGCGTGGGTGGAAGTGTGTGTGTGTGTGTGTGTGTGCGCGTACTTGCTTCAAGCCCTGAAGCACCTCATCTCTGCACAGTCTTCGATGACCGCATACTAGAGTCTTTACATCAGGAATCGCACCCCATTAGTGTGGCTTTTAAGAACGTGAGACTGAAGCTGCAGCAGTAATGGCAAACTAAGACAAGCTCAACCCGGCTTTTTTTGTTGGCGCCCATAGTCCAGATTCCCTTGCTGGGCTCGGCCTTGCAAAGGAAGGCGACAGTGCTTGAACCGTACTCGGTTCGCCCATATCACCATATCGTTACGTGGGTGCCCAAGTATGTATAAATCGTCCAGTGCTAGTCCAGCCATGCACCTGCAGACAGGAACAGATTAAGTATATAATCTAGGGGCCTTAATAAAATTATTGTAAGGAACCCCCAAAACCCTATTCTAACGATTAAGGCCCCTATGTTACGTACTCTGCATACATCATGCTCTCCATCTGCATGTCAGGTCTTTACACGGGTCGAGCGCGCTCGTCAGTGTGCCGAGCAGCCCTTGGACTATGACAAAAGCTCCAAGTAAAGGAAGGTGTGTTTGGTTCAGTGGTGGCGGCAGTGGTGTCGACGTTGTGTTGGTGTCCGGCTTATTGTTGGTCTTGTTCATATGGTTTTATACTTGAAGCTGCAATTTGGTATAGGTTTCGCTGCTACTTGCATTTGTCGTCATGCCAAAGGACAGCATGGTACGGTACAGCTGCAGTTGATGATGCTAGGCTGGGAGAGTGGAAGAGAAGCAACCCTAAACCCTAAACCAAAAAGGAGCAGTCTACAAGTTCATGTCTTCCATTGCATTCTGAACAGGATCGCCCCCGGAAGATCTGGTGCTACTAGCCTAAACGGTCGACCCCGGGTCCGAAACCCTAAACCCCTAAAGTAAAAGCCAGAAAGTTGGAATATGATTATCCTAAACCCTGTATGGTAAATTATAGGGTATCCCACCCTGAAACCATATTCCAACTTTCTGGAGTTCCCTGTAAACCCTAAGCCCGGTACGGCCCACTACACAGCGCAATCAGCTTTAGAGTGGAAGTGAGATGAAACGAGTCCCGGAAGGCTGCGGAGATACTAAAGTCCCATCGAAACATTCTGGTAATCAAGTAATTAAGTAAACAGGTAAACAAGTACCAGTATAAACACATACCACATATACATACACATATATATATATGTATATGTATACACGTACATGTTCGAAATCGGATTTCAAGCCCATAGAGCCCCAGGAAACATTCCGCGAAGGTTCGAGGGTAATGCAAGCACATGCCTTACTGCCGCCCAACTTGCTTCGTTTGCTTCCGCTGACCGCCAGAACCGTGCGAGTAGTCATTGTTGAGTTTGTATTGACGGCAAGCATACGGGAGCCGCAGGGCTATCACGAGTTGTTGTTGTCATGATGCATTGTCTTCAGGTAGCAGTAGCGCGGCTGACGACAAACACCTGCATGACCTTGAGCATTCCGACAACTTCCTTACTGTTGTTGACCTTGCAGCGTTCTGTCTAGCAATAGTGATCACAGCGGGCAAATCTCCAGGCTCTGCGCTGGGGGAATCCCGGCCTCTTCATTGTCCGCTGCGGATGGAACAGGAAGCCGAAGGCCATGCACAAATTTACGAACAACACAAGGAACAAGCTATCGTCATCACCATCACCAGCAGCAGCATCATCATCATCAGTAGCATCAAGATATGTGTAGAAAGCGCATTCATTACCATACTTTCCGGCAGTAACAAGGACAAGTTCAACACATGCAACAAGTCTCATATCTAACTAGAACTGTGCTCAATCTACGGCCGAGTACCCCGGGTGAGCGTCCGGGTCTCGTTTGTGTCCGGAGATCACCCCGTGAACCCAAACCACTGTCACAAGACATTTTTGCCAGGCTTCTGTTTCGAAGGGGTGTTTTAGGGAATCTCTGTAAGTGTCATATAATAGGTTCTTTTGCGAGTACAACTGGTTTATACGGCATGACTGAGTATAGCTTATATTATATGAGGGACTTATCATAAAGCTCCAGACAAGAAGGTGTTAGGTCTGTAAGGTTTCGGGTTCCGCAGCAAGGTCGAGGAACTGTCCCGCCAACTACTGATAGCCTCCATTGGAGTACAATGTTTTTGCCGTCACTGGTTTTGTTCTAGTGTACCCTAAACCCTAAACCCATAAAGTCTTGCAGTGGGGAAGACCAAAAAGGGGAGTTGCAACCCTCAGTAGGAACCCCAATCCCGATTCACGAAGAAGGCGACTCTTTGAATCCTTTGGCTCCGGAGAACTCCGCGCCTTATGCGTGCCGTGGGCTGTAAAGTGCGGAGTCTACAGGTTGTCTTTTTTGGGGTTTGGGGTCAGGGCTTGGGTTCAGGGCCGGTTTGGGGTCGTTTGAGGGTCGTGGCTAGATCTCTCAAGAGGCTTCAAGTGAGTGGCGCCAAGAATGCCCCAGAATACCCAGAACCACAAGTCCAAGCAGCAGTTTGGGGCTCAACACCTCAGCTCAGGGGTCCAGTAGGTTTCCCAAGGGCTCCATTAACCCAACTAGTAGGCTCTACTCGCCATATACGCCCATTAACTTACTGTTCAGGTAACTGCAGCCGCAGGGTTTCTTGCATCCTGGAACAAGGAAATGCTGGGAGTCCATGACCTCAACACGTGAAAGCCTCGGAAATCTTAGGTGACGAACAAGTTCTTCAAGCGGGCAGACTTTCCACCTATGGAAACTGTGCCTCGGCTCATTCTCAGGGCTTTGGGCCCTTTTGATTCGGCAGAGTCCATCCAAAAGGAGTTAGAAAGATGAGTAGACAGTAGAAAGTCTATGGCCCCCATGGTGTTTCTTGACCACAAACCTCAAAAACTATTTTAAAACCTAAACCCTGAAAGGCCTAACCCTACACGGTGCCAAAGCCTGAGGCCATAACCCTAAAGGCAATAAGTGCCCTGATGTCGCAGGTTCCAAGCAATGTCCCTGCTTGCCTCCTCTCGTTGGCATCTCGTGACAGCTGGATCCGCCTGCTGATAACCGGTATGTCTATCTATCCTGTTTATCTATCTACCTATCTATCTAGCTGTCTATCTATCTGTCCATCTACTCTCTCTCTCTCTCTCTCTCTCTCTCTCTCTCTCTACCTATATGCAAACAAGTCTAGTAGAACACCACCGAGAAAAAAAAAACAACGGCCGTCTAGGTATGAACATGCCTTATTAGCATTGCCGAAATCGACTAAATCTAGTTTGTGACTGTCGCCACCGGCATCAATATCATCATCATTATCATCATCATCACAGAAAAGGCGACGGTTGGCTTCATCTTGTTCATGCTGTCCCTTTGGCAACCACCGCCGCCAGCATCAAGAAAGCATCATCATCACCATCATTGCCATCATCATCCTTTTTATCTCCATCGTTATTGCGATCATGATCGCGACCACCGCTTCATCGCCGTCAGCATCGGTGTCATCAGCAGCAGCATCTCGCATCATCATCCTCCTCATCAGCATCATCATCATCATCAGCATCATCATCATCGTCATCATCATCTTACAGTTACTTCGTCCTCCAAACCGGATGTTGCTGTTAGCACCAACACTGTCGGTTCTGTTGCGATCTGCATGGCAACACCGAAGATGTTCATTGCTTTTGCGGCCATGTGAGGGCAGCTCTTGGATTGACAACTTATGGTATGCCATTCTGCTTGCACTGTGTTCGTTTCCATTAAATTATTTGTGGACGACATCATTCCGTGGTTGTGAAAACAAATACGCACCTCCGCATCATGAGGAGTACTACGGCGCAGATCCGGTAGCTCTCGCACAAAAACTGTTCGAAATCCTGTATCCTGAACACAAAGTCAGAACCTCTGGAGCCTTGGAGCCTGAATCTTCCACATCCTTCGCTCGCATGTCCTCAACCCCAAACCCTACCCATAGGCCCCAAAGTAGTTGGCTTTTTGGGGTTCATATTTAGAATCCTATAAGGTCATCCCACAAAGGAACTATATACTTTGGGGTCTGTGGGTAAACCCTAGGTGGTCCTGGCGGATCCGAATTTCCGCCAAGATGCGTGCCGGCAGCTGGCTGCGCGTGCCTGGGATTTCTCTCCTCAGCTCGCCGGTGCCGTCTTTGAGGGCGTCTTTTGGAGTTCTCTAACTATAAAGAGAAAGGGCTACCATGATGTAGGGGCCTTTACTCTCTTCTTTTGAGGGTGGCTTTTGGTTTTGAGTGCGTCTTTTGGGGCTTCTGAAGGAGGAAGGGCTACTGTGACCTTATGAATACGTAGAATGTGTTTTGGGGTAGGTTCTTGCTGATTATGTAAGCTTCTACATTGCCGTTTCTGAGGGCCGATTGAATATACGTAATTATATGGTGGCTCCAGGGGCTTTACGGGTTTAGGGTCGGGCGTATGGTCCAGCGTATATGTAAAAATATATATATATATATATATATATATATATATATATGTATATATATATATATAGGTACACCTATCTATACCTGTATGTATGTATATATATATATATATATATATGTATATGGGTCTAGATTGTAATTCCGTGTGATTTACTGGGCTTCGGCTCTGTCGCTGAGGGCTTGTATGTCTCCTTGAGGGAGGGATTGTAGCACTTTAGGGGGGGGCAGTGGAGTTCTTCGGCAAAGCTTGAAACAGAAATCCCCAGAAACATTCTCCAAGGTGTTGGTCTAGGTCATCGCTCCAAAAGGTGGCCTAGAGCTTGGTAGTTTGACTTTGTATGGTTTGGAATTCCCATTCACAAACACTCTTTTCTTACATATCCCTAAGTATTGCTTGTCAGAAAATCTTGCCTTGCAGCCGAGCATACGATGCTTCGGAAGCCCACAGTAGCAGCTTCCTCTATCTTATATAAGTGTCTGGCCTTATGCAAGCACATGCACCCCGAACCCGAGAATCCTTAATCGTGAACCCTGAGCCCTAGACCCCAAAGCGATTAGTTCTACTCCGGTGTGCCCCAAACCTTGCATGTTCTAAACCCTGAACCCTCTTCTTCTTAGGGTTTAGGGTTTAGGGTTTAGGGTTTAGGGTTTAGGGTTTAGGGAAACCCCGATCTGTAGCTCAACAACCCGACCTTTTCACTGACTTCTACGAAGAAATCTTTAATGAGGAGCCCCAAACAGGTCTGGGGCTACAGATAAAACCTGAGCATCGCTGAAAAGAGGGCCTGAGCAAGACCGAGGTGCACTGGAGCTCAGTGATCAGAAGTGTGGTCCGACCAGGCCAATTCTGCAGACCTGCGTGACTGTGTGTTTGTGGTTTGGTTAATATTGATATTAATATTAGTATGGACATTAATATATATATATATATATCTCTCTCTCTCTCTCTCTCTGCATATGTACCGACATTCAGTAAATGGATATATAGATCTTATCATCTTGCCATCAAATCCGAAAGTACCCTTTATAGAAGCTGTTGAAATGGACCCTTCAAAGGACGCCTTTCGTTGCACAGAAGCCGTGAGCTTCGGCCGCCTGGGGGCTGGCATGTAGTCCACCCTGCAGAACACGAGAAATGTGCGGTTTAGGGGGTTGGGGTTTAGGGTAAGGGTCTATTAGCCCAAAAACCCTCCAAACCCCACATTTTTGGCAGACTCCAGTCGCGTTGCCTATGGATGTTGAGCAGCACCTGTGCTTGAGGCCTTCTGCCTTAACTCAGCCCGCCTCAGCCTCAATACTGTAGGTGGTGTTGTGCCTCCCTCCAGGCTTGTCCTCCGTGTACACCATTGCACTACCATTTGCCCGAGCTTGACAGTTTTGAGGCTCATTCATGCCTTTGATGCGGATGCATCGGACGAAGAGCTGGAGCGAAATGCTCGCAGGGTGGCTGGCTGTAACAGCAGAGTTGCGTTTCGGAATAAGGGTCACTTTGAATTGCCATGATCGTGTTGATGACGGTGGAAGGTGATCGTCGTGACAGCAGCAGTGATGCCACAGGTGAGGTGGTGGACATCCTGACGATGGTCCCCTTGATGTTGTTTATGATCATTGCGATCTGGCAAGGTCGATGTCGCTGCATGTTGAGAAGCATGCTTCTATGAGATCTATGTAGTGTTGACAGCTCTGAGATTCTTGCGGAAGATGTTAACAACAATGGCGGTGCTGCTCCTGATGCCATTGATGGTGATGGTGGTGATGATGAAGCTGACGACTTTGCGGCCTCGGATTATGATGTTGGCAGCGTGGCTTGCTGGTTAAAGCTATGGTAACCAGTTGTTGGCGTCCCGGCAGAGTGGTAATGTGCGCGGCAAGGCTTCAAGGAAGGCGCTCGCCACTGTGAAACTGTGATGGTCCAGAGTCCCTTTGTCTAGCAGCTGAGATCTGTGGCTCTTGTTGTCTTGGCAACAGTCGAAATTAGTCTGAGATGAACTTGATGAGATAGACACGTCCTGCTGAAAATCCTCCGCTTTATTCCTGCAGCTGCTGCCATCGTCAAAGTGTTGCAAGGGTGTGCCTAGAGCATGCTTCAAAATCCTGAGTCAGAAATCAGAAGCACTCGCCATCTTCTTTTGCGCGTGTACTGAGACATTTGGCAGTGGAACATGCTCGTAATATCCACAAACGATACAGAGCCCGTTAACAGAGGCCTTGCCAGCAGTGTGTTGCATCACACTCGTGTGACAGCTCGGAGTGAAAAGCGCCTGAGGTCTCCTTTGCGAAGAGCATAACACATAATTATGAACTCTATAGCGAGTCATAGGCCATAGGATTGAATCCAACCGGTCCACCAAAGCACCCTGAATGCCTTCCCACGTTGCCCTCAATTCAGGGTTTAGGGGTTTTGGGGGTTTATGGTATAGGGTTTAGGTGCTTAGGGTTTACGGCTTCCGGTTTAGGTCAACCCTAAACGATGAGGTGATCGATCCCATGGAAGGCCTTGGATCAGCTGCGGAATGGAGGCTTTTGAGCCTCGCCTCGCAGGTTCTTTTTTAGTGTTTCGGTTGATGATCGAAATCCTGCATTACCCATAATAAGAATATTCCATAATTGCCATAGTTTACGGTCCTTGAGGTAATGCAGGATTTGTATCATCAACCGTACTGTGAGGGCTGGCTAGGGTTCTACAGGGACTCTTGGTTATTTTCTTGAGACCGTGTTCTTCCCACAGTTACGACGGTTACGATGAATTGTTAATTAGAGGGTTCGTTGCGCAAACAGGGTTTTGTGGGATTTCGGAGTTTTATGTCGGGGTTTATATATAGTTCACGTATCAAGAGACGTAAGGCTGTATGAGAGATTTTGGGAACTTCGGCCTAGGTTATGTGGAAACCGTGCACCTGTGACGCCTGAGATTTGAAGGTGCAGGGTTGTCGGGTACAGGGTGGCTGTTCTCACTCACTAGGGTTCCCAAGATATTCCACAGGAGAGAAGAGTGATAGGGCTGTTTGAGTTTAGTGTTTAAGGGATTCTGTGAAACTTCGTTGTGGGCACTTTCAAACGGACTAGAGGGCTTGGCGGAACCGTTTCAAACGTTGTTTTAGCCAACAGTAGTAATTACTAGGGATGGTCGTGTGTTGCGCCAGACTTCTGTTCTGCTTTGCCCCAGCCTGGCTACTTAGTTCCCACAGACTCCAATTCCCCTGTTAAGGAACATATCTTGAATTCTGGTAGGATCCCGAATATGATTTAAGGTACATATTCCTTAATCAAGGGATATTGGAGTCTCTGGGTTAGATAGCGTCGTAGAGAATGCAGCTTCGCTGGTAGGAAGATGCTTTCCGGTCAGCTCCCCAGAGGCCAGTCCCAAAAGAAGGCTGGACAGTAGTACCCGTATTCCCTTTTCGTAGTCCTAGGTTCCCTGTAAAGTTACTCAATAGCAAAAAGGGAGCCCTTTTTAGTCCTAGGTTACTGGGCATCCTAGCACAAGAGAGGGCTGCACAGTCCAAAAAGGCCAAGTCTTCAACTAAGACTAAGACGAAAGTCGGGCCTACGCCAGCTGCATGCAAAGCCATGCCGTCTGACTCTAAAACCCTCAAACTTGAATGCTCCCGAGGACTGCCTCCGGGTCCAGTGCTCCCTTCTCTGAAGAAGAGATGTGGAGCCTTTTGCAGGAAGCATGGTCTTTGTTTCATCCTTCCCTAGGGTCCAGTTTCCCAACTAACGGGGTATTGGCTTATATAGTATACCCAAAGGCCCCAAAGTAGTTCCTTTTTGGGATTACCCTATAGGATTCTATATATGAACCCCTGAAAGGAACTAGTTTGGGGCCCTAGGGTATATAGTATGTTAATGGTAGTAACCTCCTATTTACGTAACAACAGAGCTCTATAGGCCTGAGAGTGTGAGATGCTCCCTCATGTTTTGGGAGAGTTCGAAGCTGCGGCACACAACTGAGAGCCCTTTTTACTGCCCAAAGGGTCCAAGCTACCTTTCTGGTAGAATGTAGGGTTCCTATATTTCAGGAATTACTATCATGATTTGGGTAAGTAACCCACATAACAGTACTTTGGACCCTTTGGGCTGTATTTTAAGCCTGTGAACCCTACCGAAAGCCCTGCAGCCTCGAGATTACGGCTTGTTCACAAATTTCCAGGCATCCTTATATCGTCAACCACCTCAACCTTAAACCCCCAGAGGCCTCACCGAGAAGGGCTCCGTAATCTGTGGCTGTGGGTTCTCAATCATAAACCTGCACACAGGGCCGCAGACGACTGTCAGTTCCATGCCTGAAATTCTTAAACCCTAAAGACCCTGCAAGCCTGCAACGCTTAAATCAAGCCCTTGTCTATAGACCACCAAGCCCCCAAAGCTTACACCACTTCTATCAAGCCTTTTCACACCTCGAAACACCAGAATTTGTACCTTCACCCCATTATAGTCCTGAAGTCGTTGCTTTGTGTAACAATGTAGCCCCCAAACCCCTCTCATCTCAGAGCAAAAGGCGTCTACTCATCATAGTCCTACGAACCCCATCAAGATAACTGCTGCCCATATATATATATATATATATATATACATACGCGTATATATATATATATATATACATACATACATACATATGAGCCTAACCCCTAAACTCTAAGCCCTAGTAAAACAAAGCAACGGGCCAGGAGGAGGGCCGGTCAAAGAGGAGAAAGATGGAACGAGACTGGTTGATTCGCCTCTGCATGTGGCTGACACTTGCCTTTGCATAGCAATCAGGGTTTTGGGGTTTAGGGTTGTGGGGTTTTGAGGCTTGGGGCTTGTGTTGTAGAGTTTGGGGCTTAGATCTTCGGGGAGTATGGGTGGATGCTTCACGGCCATACCTACACCCCCAATTACCCCTTACAATACTTTGAATACTCACTAAGGGCCATAGGGCTGTATTACAAGGTTTTGTTTTTTTTGTCAGGGATGTGTTAGTAAGTTTGCTGTAGCGTTTGGGGAAGGTGATATGCAACTCAGAGTGTGGATGAAGGTTTTTGGTTGTATCACGAGGGAGTTCTACATCACTTGCCGTCCTCTGAAGCAGATACTCCCCAAACCCTAAACCTTGAAACTCGAACTTGAACCCCTCAACCTTAAATCCCGAAACATCTGCGACCAGCACACCCTAAATGGAGCACCTGGTTACCGTAAACCCTAAACCCTAAACCCCTGAACCCTAAACTGTACATTTCGCGGCTGTGGCCTCGAAACTGTTTCTTCCTCGGAGCAAAGGCTTTAGGGTGTTGCACTGGGGTGGGAAGGACGAATGACATTATTACTGAAATGATCAAGGGGGCTCAGGAACTAAGAGGGCTTCTTAAACGGTTCCTTAAAAGGGATCTACAAGGGTTCTATAATGGAGGGTTTAGGATTTCCTCCTCTACAGTCGTTATATGGTCATTATCAAATAAACCACCAAAGCCGTATTTATATCTTAAGGACCCTAAATTCCCGTGCCTCCAGGAGTCTGATTTAGGGCCCCGGGCCAGGAAACTGTTTTGCTTATACATGTACTCTTACAGTTAATGCAGAGGCTTTAAACATTAGATTAAGGTTTTCGGCGTATCGAATACTATGATGTACCAGCGACAACAAGGAGATGCCACTTCTGATTATTCCGACCGGTATTCTATGAGGTCCGGTCTGTCAGATGTTGTATGAGAATCCCTGTAGTGAACATGCCCATGTCAGTGCGCCGTGTGAGTCAGGGAGTTGCTGTTATGGACGGAGTTGTTCTCATCCGATGCCCGTCCCAACGTGGTAAGCTTATCTCAACTCAGGGACATTCCCGGTTGAAGCACAAACCTAAACCCGGAACCGTAAACTCAAAATGCTAAACTGCTGAAGCCAAAGACCTATAGATGCACTATACCCCTAAGGATCAAAATGGCCCAAAAGCCTAACATAATGTGGTCTTTAGGCCCAAAAGCCTCATAATGTGAGTGCTGAGAGCCTGAGGGTAATGCTGCAGCCCTCAGCGACGTCGGTGGATTCAGAATCCTCCTCGGGCTCAGCATGTGAAACCTGTTCATGACACGAGGTCATCTGGTTGTCGATGGCGTTGAGGGATCAGTGCCTGGGTTCGGGGTCTTGAGTTTCGATGACTGAGACTTTTTGTGAAGATGACTCAGGAGAGACAATGGCCGAGTACCGCAAAAACGTGCGGGCTCTCCCGAAGAGAGGCTCATGGCCAGCCGATGGTTAAAAGCCAATGCACATCTGCGCAAAAACCAGTCCCCAGGCTGCAGGGTGTGGGGTTTGATTTCGGGGTCCTTCCGGGTTTAGGGTTTAGGGTTTGGAACTTCCAGTGATCATGAGCCTTCCAGGGCCACGCAGGTTCGAGCATTCAGCGTGCTTCAGTCAACAGTTTCTGCGGCTTCTTGCTTTTTCGGCTGTGACCTGCAGTGTCCCCAAAGGTCCATGTACCCATATAGTAGGTACATGGGCCTCAAAAATATTGGTACTGTGGGGCCAAAGAATATACTATATGGGTAGATAAGCCCTGAGGGTTCTGGAGGCTTTCACCATGCAAAACACTTTAGCACCGAGTAATTGTTGATCGATGGCATCTGCTGAGTGTCGGCATGAATTCGCAAGAAGCACTCTGTATGGTTGAGACCTATTGCCACAGGATTTTGGGTACCTGGACACTCCAGTTATGAAGCCCTCGAGCTCGTGAAGAAGACGACAGCACCAAACCCCGAACACATAAATCAGAGTGAACTCAACAGCCATTACGTAGTAGTCCAGCGGTGCAAGACTCTGTCGAAAGGCAGAAGTCACCACACATTGGCATGAGCTGCAATGGAATGCTTGTCGCAATTTGCATGCATGCACATGTATGCAGCGTGAACGACACACATATGTACAGACCGAGCTATGTATGCCACATCATGTGGTTGTTTTTAGTCGTTATGCTGACTGTATGTAGCATACAGACTCTCGCACAGTTCCTCACCTTCGCAGATTATGCCAGCGTAGACCCTGAACTCCATCAGCACCCACAGTTTGGCGATTTGTTGCAAGTTCGGGGTAAAACTGGGCACGGACAAAACAAATGCGCACAGCACTGTGGCCGGAGAGGGATGAACCGGATTCTGGATTGCCAGAGTATTGGAGTCTACAATGAATTGGGAGTTTCCGAAAATATGGGACCCGATAATATAATACCCTAAATAGTACGATCCTTATGTTAAGGACCCCCCCAAAATAAGGTACCCCTAATTTTCGGGAACTTTCAATTCGGCTCTGGTGGATGCGCAGCCGATGGGAGGCTGTGAAAAGAGGTCGATTTTGGTATAGGGTTTAGGGTATACATAGGGTTTAGGGTATAGGGATTATGGTTGAGGGTTCCCTGAAGCCCAGTAACCCAGTGTTTAGATATCTGGGCTCCTTTGCTGTACCCCTGTACGCAAGCCTGGGAAAAAGGAGTGTTCCTTGGAGTGCCTCATCAAAAACACACACACAATACTATTCGCCCCAAGCCGACTTACTCAGTCTCTGATACCACAAGGTTATCTATTACAAGTCATATGATCCCTTTAGAACCTCGTTCTACTGACTTAGCCGGTATACTACAGTAGGGTATCTTGAGGTTCAGCAAGGTGGAGGTGCAGCTGTTCAAAGATGCCTCTGCGCAGCTCCGAGCAGGCATGGCCTTCATAAATTTAGGGTTTTCGGGTTTAGGGTTAGGGATATGTTCCAGAGCTTGTTTTGGGTCTTTTGGGTTCGGATGTCCTTTTGGGGCTTTGAAAGTTTAGTTTAATGTTTGGGATGTGCCTGTCATAGATATTGTGATTGGTTTTGAGTAATGATTTCCTCATTCCGGGTTTCTGATAGGCAGGATGGGACTATTTGCATACTGGGGGCTTTAATCCGAGTCCCTGTTTTGCTCATTTTATCATATGCAGTTGGGTGCATTTGAAGGTGGTTTGTGGCTCTCCCGTGCTCCCTCTTAATGTTGGCCATCTTTACCTTCAGGATCCTCGGGTATGTAGAAACACTTGTTATCCAAAAACGAACTAGATTGCAGAGAAGGAGCAGGGTGCAAAGTCGGAGTCATATGGCTGCCTGTGGCCAAATCTTAAGCACCTTCAAGCGACGTCTCGGACTTTTTGGTGCCTGGGCTTTCGAGCTTAGGGACTTAGGGTTTTCTGAGCGGTATAGGGTTTAATGACCTGCAAACTTAGTTACGATCCGTCACAAGGTTTCAGGGAAACTAGTTGGCCGAGGGAAAAATCACTCGCACAACCCAGCGTCCTCAACGAAACTTCCGAAACCGCAAACTCGCCGCGCGTTCAGCCCGTTTCCCGATGACCCAGCACCAACTCAGCATATGTGTCCGTCTGTCGACATGTCTATCTATCGTTCTGTCATGTTCTTTTTATCCATCTACCTATGTAGCTGTCAATGTACCTATATGTGTCCGCATGTGTACATAACCAACGAGCATGCATGTAAGTACGTAAATGTGTATGCATACATATGTATATATATATATATATATATGCAGAGGGACAGACAGGCAAATGCACACAGGTGCCTGAACAGTTACCAATTCTATTTTGGGTTTTCTTTGGTATACTTATAGTGTAATATACCCCAAAACCCTATTCAAGTCATGAAGGCCCCCATGTTACAACAGGAGCCGGGTTTAGTGCAGGGGCAGCCCCAGGCATGGTAAAGCCAAGATCGGTGGCGCTGCGGGGGTGGATGCAGAGCTTGCGCTGTTGGATGTCCTTACACCAGAAAAGGCGGGGGGGGGGGGGGGTCCAGGCTTTAGGTGCGCGGTTGGTTGGGGGTTTAAGGTGGAGGTGTGTAGAGAGTTTAGGGTTTTGATTGGTGTCCATCATTCCTTGTGTCAAAGGTAGGTAAAGTTTGGTGTCGAAAAGATTCCTCCCCTTTCCACAACCACCAGCAATTTGAATATCGGTCCGGAACTTGTTTCAAGACGACTTTCGGAACAACACTCCCTTAGGAACCAGACTAGCTATTTTTCTTGTCGGACAAGTTCGGAACCCAAAACTCTACACCCGGCCCCGAGGCCGTCCTCGATCAGCCGGGATGTGCTGGAGAAGAAGCATCATCGCAGGCGAGGTGTTTCAAGATGTTACTGGTTACTGCCCTTCCCTTCGAGTCCCGTCAAACCCATGTTCATAAAATGATCCGAGAATGTGAGGCCATCTCTCTCTCTCTCTCTCCCTCTCTCTCTCTCTCTCTCTCTCTCTCTCTCTCTCTCTCTCTCTCTCTCTCTCTCTCTCTCTCTCTCTCTCTCTCTCTCTCTCTCTTTATATATATATATATATTATGAACTCATATAATGTAATGTAATATATATATATATATATAAATACATATATATATATATGTATGTATGTAGGCATTTTCGTTTTTGTTTTTTTATCAAATTCATGCAACTCGAACCTAAGTAATCTAGGCGCGTAAATAATTGAAATAGGGTTCCTGGAAAGGGATACTATAAGGGTATTATAAGGGATTTAGGAATATATGTGGGGCCTAGATTTGGGCCTAAATAGTTACCTTCTATTTTCAGGGTTCCTTGTCATAAGTGTAGTATAATAGGCCCAGAACCCTATTCTAAGTATTAAGGCCCCTATATTAAGATCATCGTGCACACGCCGAACACGGCCGCACTGAGGTCTCAAAGTCAACATGACAAGCTGCGACTCGTCTCGCACGACACGTTGTGAAGACAAAGTACGTAAACATGTAGGCCGGAGCCGAAAACATCGGAATGCCGCAACAAAAAAACTGAATCCCAAAATCCGAAATCATGCACCCACCACAAGCCCCAAAGCCTTGAACCTTGTGTACCGCAACAAGCCTTCACCCCTATTGTAGGGTTCTCAACAAGTTTTTTGAGTGTTACTACGTACTCGGTGTGTGCTCCTGCTCCTTATTATAGTCCTGATATAAATCTACTGTACTGTAACATACACCTATTCCACTTATTAACACCCCTAGACCAAAATCCACTAAAAGCTTCAACAGCTCCTACATAAGAGTCCGGCAACACACATTCAAACACCTATGTGAGCCGGGCTTTGAAGCCCTACGACTTGTCAGGTTGGCACACAGCTTCGCTCTTCTTCGAGCTACTTGCCTGCAGTTTCTCTGGGAGGGTTCACGGTTTAGCTACCTTCAGTCGCTTTGCAATGAACACTTAGGGCAACTGGTGTCTGCCGCCTCTTGCGAACACTCATGCTGATGTGAAGCTTGCAGCAAAGACCCAAACCCGCCCTGCAGTCCAAACCGCAAGCCTAAACCCCTAAAGCCTTCAACCCAAAGACCTGAGCCGCAGTGTTAGTGGTATGTATACTTATACTGTATATGTATATAGATATGTACATACATATATATATATAGTTATTTATATATTTATTTTTATACAGATGTGTATATATATATATCTATAGATATGTATTTATGGTTTGCTTAGTATCTGCCCTGAGGCTGGAAAGCTTAGTGAGGCAGAGGCCAGATGGCTGCGAAACTGTGAGTTTGCGCAGCTCGATGCTCCGTCTGCCTATGGCTTTATCAATCTTCACTTTTTTGGCTTTCCAGCTTTGACGTGTGTAGGCTTTAGTGTCGCCTGCCTTTAGGATTTTATGGTCTCGTAAGGGTTGCTCCTATTCCGCCTATTCACCTGCGGTTTTCTTGCATCCTTGCACCCAGAGAACCCAACACCCCTTCATTAAGGAATATACCTTTGATTCGGGAGGCCTTAGTATTATGATTTAAAGTATATTCCTTAATTGGGTATGGGTATTGGGATCTCTGGGCGCCGACCTCAATCTGAGGAGAAACCCTCGACTCCAACTTGGCTGATCTCTTTGGCTGCCTGGATGCGGTACTACGAGCGCAAGCCACGCAAGAATGCGTCGGGCCACGAGAAGCTTCAAGGGACCCGCTTGTCTCTCGGCAATCTCTTGGCAATATTCGGGATGGATGAAACGCATGTCGGTTTCGGCACGGAAACGTATTCCAGGCCTCTCGTACGTGATCTCTCGATCTTTGTTAAACTCGGTGTGTAGCTTCAGCTCCGAGCGCATAGGGACCGCAACGCCGTAAGGACGGCGAGCCAGAACGCCCAAGAAGTGTCGCCTTCAGAACATTAGATCCCAAACAGTGACGTTCCGGATTCTTTGGCGATGTTCCTGGCCAGGGCCTGAACTCCAAAGCCTTGCTTGCCCTGGCCCTAGGCAGAAAGCCATGCAGATGCTACGGAGCGAGCAGCTGTCCACTGCAGAGAGGCTGCTGCTCACTGATAGCTTGGACTGGCTGGAGGAGGTGGACCGCTTGGTCTTTGGGTTTATTGGGTTTTAGGGTTTACTAAAACACTTTGGCCTCAAACTCCAGACCTCAACATGAATTTCAGTAGAAACCCTTACTAAACCCTGAAACCTTCAGCCGTGATCCCAACAACTGCTGACTACCCTGCCTAAATGCAAGACCGGCAAGACCCGAAACTCCATATTATATAACTCCACAAACCAAAATACCTCTTGAAGCCTGAGATTCCGCAGGTGGAGGGGAGGCCTTCTATCTGGCTATGTGGCCTCTACGCCTGGGTGCGCGCTCATGGTCACTCTGAGAGTCATGTGGTGAGGGTTGTTTTGGAACTTGTCCGTGTCAGAGTTTTGACAGGTTCTGTAAAGGGGCTAGGGCTGTATGGGCAGGTTGTGTTCGGGTTATACAAAGGTTTCGGTACAAAAGGGCCACAAGGAGGGTTCTCACAATTGTCGTCTCAGAATGTCCTTGATAAGGTCAGTAGTATATGCATACATATGTTTATGTATATATATATATATATATATATGCCCATACCCATCCATCCATCCATCCATCCATCCATCCACGTGCATTCGTTTTTTGATGTACGTGCTCATACTGAATACTCGCTTCGTGTGAAAGCATGGTATGGTTCAAAGTAGCAAACATAATGCAACATTGTGTAACATTATACAATGTAGTGTAGAGTGATTTAAGATAACGTAAGATAGGAGAATACAACATGGATTAGTATGAAGTGCAAAAACAACATCATATGCGTCATTGTAAGGAGTGTAGTGTAAATCTAACTTATATAGTGTAGTCTAACGTAGCATAAAGATAAGAAAAATACGGCGAAGCTGTTTAAACAAGTGGCGGGCGGCCGGACCGGCAAGGCCACGGAGGTGGTACAAAAGATCTGCTTATACCTTCCCACCCTAAACCCTAAACCCTAAACTCTCCAATTCCGAAACCTTAAACCCTAAACCCTAATTAAGCAGCACAGCTTCACCATTGTAAGCAGACCTGGAGGCCCGGGCCCGACGGCCACGGATGTGGTATGAAATGTCTGTTTTCATATTGTACCTTCCTTTTTTCTTTTTTTGGTGAACCAGTTTTATGGTTAGGATCCTATAATATAGATTTTGGTTAACCAGAAAAATGAACTACATTGGAGACTATAGGTAAAATCCGCATGTTGAAAAGTCGGATCGGATGCAATAGACGAGGTCGTGTTGTTGATAAATGTAAAGTCTATACTTACACATACTGTATGTATGTGCGCATGTATGTAAATAAATAAACAAATAAATAAGTACATATATATATATATATATATGCAGGCATGTCTGCGTGCATGTGCACATAGACATGCATAGAGAGAGAGAGAGAGAGAGAGAGAGAGAGAGAGAGAGAGAGAGAGAGACTTTTCGTTCCGTGGGAGTTCAAAAAAGTATTCATAGCCTCTGAAGACTTACTGCAGCCTTGATATTTCTGACTCCTGTTATAACTGCATCGATACCTTCAACCCGGATCCTGAAGGTATTCATCCCAAGGCCTTAAACCCCTTTACAGACCCTATATGTGCCCTTTAGCATCGCAGAGCCTGTGCTGAACTCCTTGAAAACCGGAAGAAGCAGTAAAGGATCTCTGGAAAGAACATGAAAGAACCTGCAAAGCCTACAAGCCCTATCAGAAGAGAGTTGAGGCCGGACTCCTCGTTTTGTGTCCGATGACATGGAGCACCTTCAGGAGAGAATCACTTCGTTGTTGGGTCAAGGGTTTGGGGTTTGGGGTAAGATTCACCTCGTTGTGGGGTCTGGGGTGGTTGCGGTCTGGAGTTGGTTTTCTTGTTAGCTGTACGAAGATCTCAGAAGTCTTCTACCAGAAGTTTGTAAGGGCTCCATAAGGGACATTGCAAGAGGCTTTAGAGGTTTCGGGAATGTGCAGGATTTGGCGGCCAAGGCTGAGGGGAAGCTTAGGGTCCAGGCTGGATAAGCTCTGACTCTACCACTGGATTGACCTGGTTGACGTTGTGAGTAGTAGGGGTTTGTAGCGGTGGGTGTGTCTTGTCAGGGTTTGAGCAACCCAACTTTGTTTAAGTTCCTGATTCGAGAGGGGGGCAGCATACTGTTTGAGTTGAGACCGACTACTCATATCCTCGCGAAGGTATGTTAAGCCAAGCTCCTCCCTCCTGCATGCCCCTGTAACTCGGGCTGGGCAGTCGACGATGCTGGCAATGTGCATGAAGGTCGAGGTGATGGTAACGTCAAGTCTTCGGATACTAAAGCGTCACACTGTCGAACAGAGGGAGATGACGATGTCGGTGTGGGTGATGGTGGAGATGATGATGACTGTGACGATGATGGTGATGGTGATAATGCAGACGTTGGCACAGGCATGCGAATCTCTAGAGTTACCGTTGTCGCACTGAACATGTAGCACAAGCAGTGCATACAATTCAGGTGCTCGTAAGTCAGCAGCAGCAGCAGCAGCAGCAGCAGCACCAGCAGCAGCAGTGCTGTTCGGCCGGGGTGTTTGCAGTATGTTTGCCTTGGTCAGTGCATGGTCAACAAGTTAATCGTAAAGCAGGTGAGGTCTGAGATTGATGTGTAGATTTCTCTTTCATGACGGTCTAGCGGAAGATATTGTCTCGATCCTTTTGGTATGGGCTCTTCATTTACTGGCAGGCAGGACGATGGAAGCACGCAAGGAAGCTCTGGCAAATGGGCGCCCTTCGAGAGACAGACTCCAGGCTTATGAAGGGTGACGCTTTTTTTTGTTGAGCCCGGCCACACTGACAGAACCGCCATACCTCATGCTGCCAGAAGTTGTTGTTTCCGTTGGTCCAGGATGCTGACTGCCTTCTGCCAAGAAGTAGTACAGAGTACAGATATGTTCTTTGCGTTTTGGGTCGTGATGCACCATGCATGCAGGCCGCGCATGTGTAGCTCTGACAACCCGGCGGAGAAGCTGTTCTTTGCAAGACGAAACAACAGAAGCGACCGAAGTAAAACCAAAGGTGCAAGGTGTGGATCTGTGTTTTTCGGCCAGTCTGTGCGGAGGCATGTAAAGTCAACAGGCGAAAACATGCAGCTCGTCGTGCTCGAGACCCCTCAACACTTTGGAGCCATATGCACGTGATTTAGGCTAGAGGCCTGTAGAGTCCAGGTTTGGACTCGACTTTGTTGAACTCGTGTCTCGCGTGTTGCTCATGTTGATCTCGTATTGATCTCGCCCAGGAAGAGCGACTCGTCGCAGAGTGCAAGGACTTTCAGGACAAGCGCAAAGACATGCCGAAGTTGGAGGAGGGGCCTCGAATCTGGCTTTGCGATCTCTATGCCTGGGTGCGCGCTCATGGTCACTCTGCGATCCTGCTCAGTGGTTTTAAGGAGGCCTTACAGCGGGGACTACAGGCTTCACAAGGTGTTCGAGGTGTATGAGAGGGGGTTCTCTATATCAGGATCCTATTCCGGAGCCTTATTGTTAACAAGCCGAGTTTGATTTTCTTGTGAGGATGATACAGGGGTTCATGTGTTGATACGCTCGAGAGAGATCTTGGTCTTTCAAAGACTTCTCAGGATTTTGCATGCTACATGGTGGTTTTCCTTGAAGATCTATATGTATACATATGTATATATATTTATACTTATATGTATGTACATATGTATGTACATAACCTGTACATGCATATATACACTGTGCAGTTATGAAACATGTTTGCTATTGCTGTTGTTTTACTGTTTTCGTAGCATCGTCACTATATGTAATATGAGAGAGAGAGAGAGAGAGAGAGAGAGAGAGAGAGAGAGAGAGAGAGAGAGAGAGAGAGAGAGAGAGAGAGAGAGAGAGAGAGAGAGAGAGAGAGGAGGGAGAGAGAGAGAGAGAGAGAGAGAGAGAGAGAGAGAGAGAGAGAGAGAGAGAGAGAGAGAGAGAGAGAGAGAGAGAGAGAGAGAGAGAGAGGGGAGATAGCGAAAGAGAGCTTTCGCACCCCCCCAGCAGTTGGCAGATATCTTCGTAGCCTGTTGACACTTAGGGAAGCTATTCAGCTATTCCTTCGCAACCTCAGTAGAACAGTAGAGCTGCATTGCGAAGCCCTAAACCCCAAAACCGTAAACAAAACAACAAAAAACAAGCAAGCCCTCAAGGCCCTGAACTCTTACATTCCCGAGCTGATAGACCGCTTTTAGAGTCTCATTGGTAGACACGTTCTGAACAGCTGCAACACCTAAACCCGAAGTCACTAAACCTGTCGACCCTAAACTTCTTGAACGCTTCAGGCACTTTTCGACCTCTTGGAGGAAGTGTCAGGGGAACCCCTAAACGAACCCCTGGGAAACACTTAAACACTCCTGTATATATATATATATATATATGTACCATACGAATTTTCTTACTAAAAATACATAAATAATGACATATATACATATGTACATGTATATATATATATATATGTATATATACATATATATCTACACTTACCCTTACCCGATCAGCAGCGAGCTGAGGCCGGACACCGCAGTTCGTGTCCGATGACGTGGAGCGCCTTCAGGTCAGATTGGCCGATTGGCCCCCGTTGTGGGGTTTAAGGTTCAGGGCTCGGGGATAATAAGGGGTCTATAACAAGGGAGCTCAGGATTTAGCGTTTCGGGTTAAGGGCTCAGGGTTTCGGATTGAAGGTTCAGGGTTTAGGGTATCGGGCTTAGGGTTTAGGGTTCAGGGCTTAGGGTTTGGGCTCCAGGTTCTTGGGTTCAAGGCTTTGGGTTTGGGGTTTAGCGGCAAGGGTTCAGGGCTTAGGCTTCGGGGTTCAGGTTCTAGGGTTAGGGGTCTTGGCCTCAGGGCTCACGGTTTAGGGTTTTCATGGGGTTTAGGGCTTTAGGCTTCGGGTGTTTCGTTTTTTTCTCAGAGCCGGTGTTTCACGAGCTTTTTGTAAGACTTCTTCTGTATAAAGGGGGGGTTTTAAGATAGGAGATTCCGTAATGTAGGGATTTAGGGCTTGAGCCTGCAGAATTTAGGCTTTCAGGATTTTGGGGGAAGTTTAGGGGTTTCACGAGCTCTGCTAGTGGGCTCTTGTCCAGGGGGGTCCTGAGCCACGTTTTGGCACGGGGGAGTCTATACGGCTTTCGATTCTGGAGTTTCGAGAAGTTGAGTTTAAGCTGTTGATTTGACGTGAAGCATACTTTGTACGTGTAGACTCTGATCCTTGTCCTGACTCCAAGAATGGGGGGTTTCCGAAAGTAGGGGACCCTAATATAGTACCCTAATAAGTAGTAATTATAGGGACCCCAAATGCGGTACCCCTAACTTTCGGAAACTACCAAATCCCAAAACCCTAAATGCTAATCCAAACACCCAGACTCGTCCGGGCTTCAGGGCTACAGGTTCGAAATCGTATCCCGCAACCCAAACCACGAAGAACATCTGAGGCCTGCCACTTTCCGATTTTTAACTGCGAAGGTACGGAAACTGCAACATCTGACCCCGAGTCTTAAAGCCTATTTGGGGTTTAGGGCTTTAGGGACTGAATTCTGGACTCTATAAGCGCATTACCGTCAGAAAGCCATCGTTCCCTTCTGGGAACCTTTAAGCAATTGAACGGTCCAAATGACCCAACCAGGACTCCTTAATTTCCCAGTTGTTGTACAAGAGACCGTATCATACTTGTTAATGCAGCTATCGTACAACCGTAGCTCGTGCTCTGCAGCAGTTCAGTAGTAGATGATCGCCATGGGAATGATCGTCACAGCGATGGTAGTGTTCATTCTGCAGATAATGCAGAGCCACAATGTCGTAATGATGGAGATGGAGATGATGGTAGGCATGATGTTCCTGATGGTGATGACGATGATGGTGATGGTGATTGTGATGAGTGTGGTAATAGCCATGATGGCGATGATGATGGTGGTGATGATGATGACGACGGTTATGATTGTGGTAATGATGATGTTGGGACGGGCATATGCTTCTTTCTAGCCACTATTGTCGTACCCATACCACACACAACGCAGATCATCGAAGCCCTGGTGTTTCCTTGAGCTAGCAATAGCAGTCTGTTCTCGTGCTTACAATATCAGCACCTCGGTCAACGAATGCTCTGCAAAGCAGGTGAGCTCGTGGAATATGACCCCTTTATGGTAGGTTAGGGTTCCTTATAGACTTATAGTAGTACCCTAGCATTGCAACCAGGGTATACCTTATTCTAGTAGCCACTACATAATGTGTGGAATGCTTTTCCATGGCGACTGTGCCTTTACTGCCAGGCAGGACGATGGAAGCACGCAAGGAAGCGCTGGCAACTGGGCACCCTGCGAAGCACAGACTCCAGGCTTATGAAGATTCCCAGAGATCCCAATACCCCCTTAATTAAGGAATAGGCCTTAAATCAGAACATGAAGGCCTTTATACTTTAGGGTATATTCCTTGATTAAGGAGTATCGGGATCTCTGGGTTGACGATTCTTTTTGTTGAGCCCCGGCCTCACTGACAGAACTGTATCTACGGTTGCACCACCATGACTCATGCTGCCCAAGCAGTTGCTGCTTTCATCTACCTGGTGCTGAGAAGCAGTGCAAAGGTGTTCCTTGGCCCTTTCTGTCCTGCATGGTGGTGTTTCGCCTCCTGCGTCGCCTGAGGCACAGGTTGGTCTTGTAATAGAGGGGCCTTAATAATTAGAATAGGATTTGCGGGTATATTCTACTGTAGGGAGCGCCCCAAAACCATATTCTAACTGGTTACGAAGGCCCCTACATTATTGATCTCGCCTAGGAAGAGCGGCTGGTCGAACGGTGCAAGGACTTTCAGGACAAGCTGACGCTGAAAGGACCCTGAGTCCTTGAGCAAAGGTCTCCGGATCCATCCTCGGATTCCAGGAGCACGATTTTAATTTTCCAAGATTTTCTGAAGATGATTTTCTTGTACATATCTGGGGCTTCTCCGACAGCCCCGAGTTTCTAGGACCTGTTTTGGAAGTCACCGAGTTTGCAAAGGAAGCTACGACTAGCTTTCCCATCTCATGGTTTCGGGAGCTTTCCAGCAGCCTTAGAATTTTCGGTTTTATAGGAGCTTAGGGGATCATTTTCGGGGTAATAGGTCAAGTTTAGGGTTCGAGGGTTCAGGGTTTTAGGTTTTGGTGTTTAAGGATCATTCTTGGGTTTAGGGTTTAGAGTCAGAGGTGTGTACAGAGAGCGAGACGGGCCATTGCCAATTGGCCCTTAGCCTAATGCATGGCTGGATGGAACCGTCCTCGATCTGGCTGTCGAGCAGGCACTCAAGGCCACCCAGAGATCCCAATACCCCTTAATTAAGCAATACACCTTGAATCATAGTACTAAGCCCCCTATAGTTTAAGGTCTATTCCTTAGTTCAAGCATAGGGTTCTCTATGCATGTGAAGCCTGGAAGCGGGTAGAGAGTAAGCTCGGGCAGTCTGACTATTCTCCTCATGAACTCCTCGCTGTCGATGCTTGCTTCGAGTTTGTCCTTGCACTGATAAGTCTAAGTGTACTGCGACATGAGCGAAGGCAAAGAAACCTGAAACAAGCTGTAGTCCTGCATTCATGTTCAAGACATGCAGACGAGAGTGCTTGCTAGTGCCGATCGCACTTCGAGATGTCAGGGAAAGGCGGCAGGGATTTGCAGAGTGTATGACCAGTACTACCTTTAAACCCTAAACCACACTATAACCTTAATTGTCTCGATTTCGTGTGGAACATGAAATCCCAGCCCCACACCTCGGCCGTTTACAGGCTGCCATGCGCGCCATCTCTTTGGGATAGCAGTCGTCTTTGGCTACCAACATACACCCCGAAGCCTTCAACCTGCAAACCCAATTGAGGCACCAAAAAGTCCGTATGCTCCCGATGAAAGCCCCATACAAATCCTTGTGCACCTCTTGCAGATCCCTCCCAAACACTTTAAACCCCCTTAAAACTGTATTGAGTCTCAGAGATTGGAGTCGAGTATGCAGTGCAAAGCCCCCTTAGCCTCAATTGCAATCCCACTTGCGGGACGCTTACAGGAAACGCCAAAAAGTTGGAAACCGGATTAAGGACAACAAGTGCTGGGATCCCCTATACATTAGTCTTAAGGATTGAGGCTAGTGGGTTTCAAACTTTTTGGCTTCTACTTTAACCATAAAACGTCTACGCTACTACCCAGATACGCGAACCAGTACCGCTCTCAGTACCAGTATCGGTGCTACCACCAACCACCACCACCACCACCACCACCACCACCACCACCACCACCACCACCACCACGACAACAACAACAAAAAGCTACTACTACTACTACTACTACTACTACTACTACTACTACTACTACTACTACTACTGCTACTACTAAGGACCAGTACCAGTACCAAAAACTGTTTCTTTCTTCTCTTCTGCACCATGTGGAAAGACAGTCTCTGTAGGACCATTGACTGAAAGTTGACGTCGAGCGACTCGCTGTCTCAGCGGTTTGTGCAGCGCGTTTTTCAGGCTCATACAGTGGCTGGTGCGCTTAATGCGGGCTTAGGGGTTTAGTGCAGTGTAGGATTTCCTAACTGGGCTGTAGGTTGAATAATCCATGTGTGTGTGGGATGGTGATGCTCCATCCCCACCCCTATCCTCCCCCTCCTCGTGGACACGGGGCAGTCAGCAACACGGCGCTTCTGGACATGCAAGAAGGCGGGTAAGTTTTAACGGGCTGCGGCTCTAACCGGGCAGACCTGTTAAATTTAATCGCTTGCGGCTTTGGCGGTGCGGGCCGTTAAATGCAGCGGGTTTGGCCCGGGCCGGTTAAATTTAATCGATTTCGGCTTTAACCGGGCCGGGCCCGTTAAATTGAATCGATTTCGGTTTTAACCGGGCCGGGCCCGTAAAGTTTAACCGTTAACCGGGCCGGGCCGGTTTAATCTAATCGATTTCAGCCTTAACCGGCCGGGCCGTTTGAATTTAATTGATTTCGGTTTTATTCGGGCCGGGCCGGTTTAATTTAACCGATTTCGGGCTTTAACCGGGCCCGGCCCGTTAAATTTAACAGATTTCGGCTTTAACCGGGCCGGGCCGGTTAAATTTAACCGATTTCGGCTTTAACCAGGCCGGGCCGGTAAAATTTAAACGATTTCGGCTTTAACGGGCCGGGCCGATAAAATTTAATCGATTTCGGCTTTAACCGGGCCGGGCCGGTTAAATTTATCGATTTCGGCTGTGGGGCGGTGGAATTTCATCGGCGGCGGGGTCGGTTACATTCAATCGAGGTTTCCGGCTTTGAACGGGCGGGCGCTCGCCGGAAAGAACAACAAAAGGCAGCAAAACGGCAAAGGACGGGAAACAATTTAATTCAATATAGTCTAGGCCAACATGGATTCAAAATCGACACTGTTCACATTCAACAACCGTTCGAGCAGGTAGCCTTGTACTTTTTGTTGCATCCACAATTATATTTGCAAATTTTTTGCCGCACAGATTTCGGCTACGGGGGCCCCAAAAAATGTTTGAGGATGCTGTGTTGCAGAGCAACTATTGGTCATCTACCTTGCCGGGGGCTCCTGGGAAAGACGCGGGTCTCAAGAATCGAAAGTCGGATGCTTAGAGGTTGTAAGAACCAGTGAGGACCGCGAATGCGAGCAATTGCTTGGACTGCCGATGAGGGCAACGAATGGAGGTCGTCCAGACCGACCGAGAAATCCATGTGGAGCGCTTTCCTTGCTGTGCACAAAGGCGTGCGGGATATCCACGCGATGGAACGGAACTACAAAGTCGGAGTTGTGATATCCGACAACCACGTGATCATCGTGGGGAGCGAAGTTTCAAGCTCCGATGATAGACTACCTACAACGTGCTGAAGACGACCACACAGCGGGATGTGGAATGCTTCGCGAGTCTTACCTGTACCACTGGCGCGGTTCATAGGTGGCTCCGACTTTGGGGTTGTTGAAATTCATCTTCTGTAATTTAACGACATTCCATACTGGCAAGTTGAATCGCGGTAAAGGACGATGTTTCCTGAACCTGAGCGGTTTGAGTTTTGGTTGGCGATTATCATGAGAGGAAGGCAGCATTGTGTGGTGTCCGGCGCGCAACCTGGGCAAAAAGGTACGTGGAGAGGGAAATGCTGCAAAAGACGTGGTTTCCAGCTTTTGCTTGCCAGGCCGCGATTGCAAACTGATTCGCTTCAGGATGAACGGCGGGAAGCAATTTAAATCAATATAGTGCAAGGTAAGGACGACTCTTTTCGGACCTTGAGCTGTTTCAACACCCATCGCAAACAGCATCTGCGCACTTTTTATTGCATCCGCAAGTATATCGACCTGATACATAGATGCACAGATTTGGGATTCAAGACCTCAAAAATTTTTTTGGAGCAACTGTATTGCAGCGCAACTATTGGTCATCTACATTGCCGGGGTGCTTCAGGGGCCGTGTATGCACGGGAAAACCGAAAGCTGGAAATGCTTAAGGTTGCTAGGTCCTGGCTCTGATGGGCGGTCCTGAAATGGGTGTCGCAAGTGGTATTTGATGCACTGGTGACGTGGAAGTACCGTGGAAGTTGCAAGGCAAGCCACAGCCTATGAATGTCAACGATAATTAATTAGAGCCTAAAGACCCAAACAGCTTGAAGCGCTGCTGCGTTGCCTTGGCACTGTGGTCGCACATAGAACGAAAGCACCTTCAGCCTTCTGCCGTAGCCTTCCTGAGTCTCAAGCCTAGACATCCAGCCGCTGTCCTTTGCAGCCTCGCAATCATCATGCGCGGAGATCAGCGGTCATGGAAGGTGGGACAACCGATCAAGGATCTCAATTTCGCTGTCAAGAATCTCTTCCAGCACATTCACCACGCGCCGCAACACAGGGAGGACGGCAGCAGCAACATCCTGGACTTCGGCTTCAAGAACCCTGCCGATCTCCTCAAGCCGACGACATGGGCGAAGCGACAGATGACGCAGAAGCCCCCGATGACGCCGGCCAACGAGCTCCTCAACCGGCCGGAAATCGGCCTCTCGTACCTGGCAGGCGCCATCGAAGCCTTGGAAGGTCTTCACGTCTTCCAAGCTGCATTCGAGAAGCACCACATGCGCAAGCACTGCCAGGCGCGGAGGGCCTATACATAAGCCAGGAGCTAGACACTGCATACAGTACCCGTGCTGTCAGGTTCTGAACACCGCCGATTACCCGAATGTTCCGGTGACGGAGGAAGATACCAAGAAGGCCGTGCAGGCCACTCTGTCCTTCTTACACGAGTGGCACGCGAATTGGACTGCGGGAGCTCGGAGCATGCTGCAATCATCGCTGGCGTATGGTGCCATGGGTCAGATCCTCGGAGCTTCGGCACTGCTGCACCAAGTCTCCTTCTGGGCGGAGAACACGCCGAACGAAGGACAGCTGCCAGCGGAAGCCTTCGAAAACTGCCGAAAGGATCCGAGCAAGATGCACCTGCTTACGAAATATCTGACGACCGCGCACTTGAGCCACAAGCATCTCAAGCGGCAGTCAGCAGGAAGCGATAGCCGACAAGCCTTTGACTCTGCCGAGGCCGAGGCAGCGCTGAGTTGGCAGTCCATGTCGCCAGCAGCTGGCCTGCGAACGCCGCGATCGTCAGCCAAGAAGCGCAAGCAGCAGGAGGAAGCAGGCATTCCTCCTGTGCCGCAGGCTCCGGCGCCGGCAGCTGCAGAAGGCAGCAGAGACAGCCTCGATACGTTCGAAGAGTTCATGCTGAAGCAGATCTAGACTGAACAGGTGGAGCATGCTGGCCGCGCCAACGCCGTGACGCCAGGTGCCCAGGCGACCTTGAAGCTTTGGGAGACCTTCTACCCGAGGACGAAGCAAGAGATCTCGGAGCAAGTGAAGAAGCTGCAAGGCGACAGAAAAGCGACGTTCCTCAAGAGAGCCCAAGCACTCATCAAGCAGGCGCAGGACTTGAGGCCTAGAATCGAGAGTGCTTTGGAGCCGCCCGTGGCAGAGTCGATGTCCTTCCCAGAGACGGCGGAGCCGGAGATAATGCCTGAGCAAGAAGACGGAGACTTAGCCTTCTTGCTGACACCTCAGAAGCAGGACTAGCTCAGGCTCAAAATCCTAAGTTGAGGGTTCCATGGCGGAGGGCACTTTATATGCAAGTTTGTACGCTTGGGTGATATTTGGTAGTACTCCGGGGCCTTTAAAGCAATCCTCAGCTCTATAGAACCTACACCCTAAACCCTTATCACCAAAATCCACCAACTGTGTGCTCAACTTGTACTTGGTTCTTCAATTCAGCTTCTTTTGCGGATGTGGTTCGGTGTTCTTTACAGTGATTTCGTCGAGGGGTGCACTATACCCAGCGATACACACACACACACACACACACACACACACACACACACACACACCCAGGGTCTCTCCCAGAGGTCTTTTTGGCCAAGGTTTGGGGGGTGTGGGGGTTTGGGCTGGGGGTTTGGGTTTGATTAGGGTTTCGGCTTTTGGGTTTGTGGTTCAGGGTTCTTGGCGTGGGGTTCGAAGTTTACGCCGAGTTAAAACCCATGCGTGTCAGTCTCGTACCTCCGAAGCCGACATCGGGCCTTCTCAAATACATGGTGTGAGGTTTAAGTTGAGGGTTTAGCCTAAACCCTAATCCCCTAAACCCTAAACCCGTAAACCCTAAACCCTAAATTTTTGGGCTGAGGATCCTACTGTTCAGGCTATTAGGGCTGGGTTCGATTAAGATTTGAAGATCAACCTTCCCAAAGGGTCCATGTACGCGTCTAGGTAGCAATTCGGGCAACTTCTGAATTTCCCTTTATGGTTCCTATAGACGTACCTATTCCTAAATACTTTCCAAAGGCCCGAAACTACAACCCAGTATAACATATACACATTGGCCTGTATACAGTAGCGGTACTTTGAGGACAACTTGTCTACAGTTTCGGTACAGGGCTTCGCAATGATTGAGGCTCCGAGGTTAAGCGTAAACCCAAACCCCTGCCCTACCAGCTGCTGAGCCTCACAAACTTGGGCGCCAGGACGACCACAGAAACATGAGGATGTGGGGTTTAGGGCCTAGCTTAGGGTTTAGGGTTTTAGGGTTTAGGCTTCAAGTTTAGGGCCTAGTTTGGGATTTAGGGTTTAGGTTTAGGCTTCAAGATCTCGCAAGTCAGAGTTTCCGGCAATCGTTTTTGAAGGGTCCCAAAGCCTTAAATTTGTTGAATGCAGGATCTCAGACCCCAGACCCAAAACTGAAACTACGGGATCCGTCTGTAGTTTGTAGCTCTACGACAGGCAAGCTTTGATTCCAATACAGAGAACCCAATTCCCCTTAATTAAGGAAAATACCTTGAAATATGGAGGCCTTATTAGGCATATTCCTTTATTAAGGGGTATTGGGATCTCTGGGTAGAGGATTCCTAGGTTTCTGTGATCTCTTGAGGGCTTCAGGAACAGGGCTCAATGCATTTGCGCCAATGAACCGTGGATTTGCCAAAGGCATCTCCTGGAGCTTTAGCTTCGAAGCCGACTTAAGGCTGCGATTTACCTATAGTCTCCATTGTAGTTCCAGTTTTCGGTTAACCAAAAGCAATATAGATAAAACTGGTTAACCAAAACAAGGAACTACGATGGAGACTACAGAATATAGGTAGTGCAGAATCAGGGTTTCTGGGATCAGTTTTGTCATGGTCTTAGGAATTCTAACACTAGGGTTTTGGGGTTTAATCGGGGCTAAGGGGGGATAGGCAACTGAAACATGTAGAAAGAAATCATAAAAAGGAACACGGCCCAGGTAGGTTTAGGCAGTTTAGGCTTTACTGTGGCGCAAACCTATGAGGCAGTGTCTGAATCTCGAACATGAGTCGTCAACAGTAGGATGCTAATGTACGGACCCCCCCCCAAATGAGTGATCCTGATTCCCTACACCCTGAACTTGAAAGCCTAAGCCCCAAAACCCTCTGTCAGTTCAGAAGCTCAAAGCTCACACCCTAAACCCTAAACCGCCAAAGCCTCTGTCAGTTCCGAAGCTCAAACCGTCTGCGACGGATTTTCTTTCCGGTTCGGTACCTCTCACAGGGCCGCCGGGTTCCACCAGTCCATCCGGCAGGAAAAGCACGGTGCTCTGGACTACCATACTTAGTAAGAGGGTTCTATATAAGGGCACTGTTAGGATGCTAAAAGGGTAAGGGTTAGAGATTTGGGTTCTGGAGAACCATACTTTTGTCTACTTTTCCGGTGGCTTTTTCCTTAAAAGAAGCCTTGATGAAATAAAGGTGAACACTGTTTTGGACCTGTTCCTTAAAGGAGGCATTATGCAATAAACGTCTGTACGTTGTCTTTTTCACCATCCCCGCTTGCTCAGAGAAGCACTTGGAGGGGGTCGGGGGACTTAGTAATTGGTTATTTTAGGGACTTATAAGTATCATAACCCCAATTAGGGTCCCTTGAAGGGTACTTATAAGTCTACTTACTAACTACTTACTAACTTCCCCGACCCCCCCAAGCAGGAACCACAAGCCTCGGACTTTCATCGAAGCCACCGTCGTTCGATGCATGGCGCCACGGGAGTTTCGGGAACTTTTTTGCATCCTTATAGCGTGTAGGATGCATTTCTATATTTTAATGTTCAGGGTCCCTATGACATCCTGGGCCGATTCTTGTACAAGTATGTTCAGGAACCCCTAAAGCCCCGGCCCCATTCTAACTACAGGCGGGGTGTAGGATCTAGGGTAGGTCACCCCCAGCCGCAATCCTACCTAAGAAGCTCCGCCAAGCGAGGTTGCGGCGAGTGCTTGACCTTAGACGGGCCGAAGCTTGCTTCGACGACGAGGACTCTGCGGCTCTATCCTGCAGGTCAATGTACTTGTATCTCGAAATGTGTATGTATGTATGTATATATATATATATATATATATTATAATATTATATCTTTATTTACTTGTTTTTTATTTTATACTATATATATATATATATACATACAATATGTGTGTAGGTATGTCGACTTAGGACTTAGGCCTTTAACTTGGTCCCGTAAGGGGTACATTACCTTGTAGGCTAAGGCAGGTAGAAGCTGTGTGGCCGGTTTGTAAGGACCCTGAAAACTTAAGCACTGGGATCCTGAACATAAGCAACCGGTATTCCTATTTCTAAGATATATACCCCCCCCCCTCCCTCAAAAAGAAATGTGCTCAGCCCCAAAAGCCCCGAACCCTGGATGGCCCAATTCCTATATGGACAGGGGGGAAGGATGGCTTAGGGTGTTCAAGGCTCAGGGTCAAGAGGGTATCGGTTCGGGAGCTCTGGAGCTTAGCGGCTGAAGGTTGTTGGTTTCCCTAAGGGTCCATGTACTCAAACAGTATATACATTGGCTTTAAAGTACTCCCTATATAGGTACATTGGGCCCAAAGTATATACTATTTGAGTACATGGACCCTTAGAGTTTATGGAGATGTATTGATATCGCTTCTGGGGCTTCAGGTTTATGGATAGGTTTAGAGGCTCAGCGGCATAAACGTATACCAATGTAAACTCTTGGATTGGAAATTGGCAATCGAAGACCTTTGCATGGACCTTGTCTGATGACCTTATCTACTTCAGGTTACCCTAGGGCTCCATAGTAGCTACTCCTTATAGAACTCACAATATGAACCACAAAAAGGAACAACGACGGAGCCTCTAGGTAAGGGCCTTGGGCTGAATGAGCCTCCTGCGCAGGACTACCCGGGATTCGCCCGCTCCTCAAAGTGCTGCGGCTAGCCCTGGCAGTGACGCTGGCAAGCTAGGCTGGGGACAAGTGATGCGTAGCAGGTGAAGCATACGCTCTACCTCCAGGTGAGCTTTCACGACCTGCACCACTGTCAATACAATTAGGCTTGTCGGGAGAACGTTGGGCTGAAACTCACGAGAGAGAGGTCAGTGGTTAGTGCCTTTTCTCTGCCATTCAACCTGCCGCACTCCAGAGTAGCTGTGGGTTTAGGGTAAACGGCGGTTTAAGTTCTCATTGAAGTTCTCAGCAAGCCTGATGTACCGTAGCATTGAGACACCCTAGGTTGGAGACACGCGACTCGACTTAGAATACCCTGAGCGCTAAACGCGGTGCCTTTTTTGCGGTGGGTTTCTGATTGCAGCCGAACCGTAGGAGCAACGGCACCCTTACTGGGTAGGAAAGGCCTTCTGAATATTCGTGCGGAAGGCCCTTCACACGAATTGTATCTCCTTGAGGTCGAGCGAGGCACTTAAAAGTAGGGTCATTGTATTCTTCAGCTAATCCACTTAAGACTCAAACTTAGGTACCTCTAGCCCAAATTAAACCCCTGAACGCGAACCTCAAAGCGAGCATAGCCCGGACCCAAAGCGCTCCGAGCCTGGGTCTCTGGAGACATGCCTTTGCCTGGGTTCGGTGTACCTACCTATAGTCTCCATTGTAGTTCCTTTTTTGGGTTCACCAGTTCTACGGTTAGGATCCCATAATATTGGTTAACCAAACGAAGGAACTACAACGGAGACCATAAGTAATTTTTGGGGTTTAGGGTTTAGTTTAGGGTTTAGGGGTTCATGTTTAACAAAGGGGCCTAAATGGCCTAAATAATCACCACTACTAGTTTAATCTTTGGGTTCCTCAGTCACTATGAGTATAGTATAATGGGCCCCCAAACCCTATTCTAAGATTAAGGCCCCTATATTAGTTGTATACCTTTTGGAGTTGTGGATTCCGGGAACCATTATGAATGATACTTTTTCTCCTTGAGTGCTTCAAAGCCCAGTTAATTGAAAGTCACACGCCCCTCAAGGGTTGAGAGTCTTCTAAGACCCTATAGGATGTACACTGTAGATTGTACCTTTCCTTGGAGATTCTATTTCATCTAATGCATGGTCAGGACCCTACCCTGAGGGTCCAAGTACCTAGTAATTAGTTAGTATTCATAAACTCCCAAATACTAGCGTACATGATTTTTATCAACACCCAAGGGGTTTGGGGGTTTCTAAACCCCTAAACTTCTAAGCCTCAAACCCTACACCATCCTGTGCCGCTCCGCCGCTGAGGTGCCGGAGATCGCCAGGCCATCTCTGCGCCGCAGCGTATGACGTCCACGCTCATG